TTTTTTTAAATACACATTTACACATTTTATAGGCTAAAGCATTAATTTGTGTAATCAAAATAACTATTGTCAGATTACTTTAGAATAAAAATAACCATTAGTCACAGCCTTAACAGCCCCACAGTGCTTCCAAACCAAACAACTGTGGAGCTGGCTTGTTGTTTTACAGACTAGAGATTTTATTTCCTTGTCCTCTAAATGAGGAAGCTTTTCATTCACAGAGAGCATCACACACTAAAATCAAAACAATGCATGTTTGTGATTTTGAGAAGAGATTGTATTGAACACGATCTGTTTCCCTCTTCTGCAATCCAATCAGACTGAAAAGATGTCTGCAGGCAACGCAAGAATTGGAAAGCCGGCCCCAGACTTCACAGCCAAGGCGGTGATGCCAGACGGGCAGTTCCGTGACATGAAGCTGTCGGACTACAGAGGTACACACCAGCCCGTCTCCCACCTTCTTCTGGGGGCAGCACATGCTTTGATGACGCTCTTTCTGTAATTCACTGTTTTGTGCTTCCACATCATATTGAATGGACGTTCATTTACACTACTAAAGAGGGGAATTAATTAGAGAGTCATTTGGCCAATTCAATGGCCGTATTGTTGTGTGTTACAGGGAAGTACGTGGTCTTTTTCTTCTATCCGCTGGACTTCACCTTTGTGTGCCCGACTGAGATCATCGCTTTTAGCGATGCTGCCGACGATTTCAGGAAGATCGGCTGTGAGGTGATCGCCGCCTCTGTCGACTCCCACTTCTCCCATTTCGCATGGTATTTACAAGCTTTATATCTTCAACAGACACAGTGATTCATTCACTCTTACAAAGTCCTCACACTTACTTTTTGTGTTCTTAAAGGACCAACACACCCCGTAAGCAGGGCGGCCTGGGTAGCATGAAGATACCTCTGGTGTCTGACACACGGCGCACCATCTCCACAGATTACGGTGTCCTCAAGGAGGATGAGGGCATCGCCTACAGGTGGGCTGAACCCTGTGCTAGTCACACCTCCATGGTTTGCTTCCTCAGTGTTTAAAACTATTCCAGTCGGTGTTGATGCTGCTTCTGCACCATCCTGAAGATATTTCTAGTGGGAGAACATCGACTCTCCTGCCGTCACTTCGGCCGGATCCGTGTGACAGAAAGAGTCTGTGTGAGCCTTTTGTTGATGCCCATGTGTAGCCCACAATTTGTCTCTGCATGGCTGCTATGCTACACGGTGCTGATCTGCTGTGCATGTATAGAATGAGTGCTCCAGGTGGACTCTAAGCAGAATAGAAAGTAGCATAATTAGAACAAGTGTGCATCTGTGCTGTTTGTGTGCACTTTGGCAGGGGGATATAACTGGGTCTTTATTGTGTTTCACTGGGCTGGACTTTAGTTTATATCCACATTAATACTCATTTTAAATACACATAAATATGACTAAGTTTATGCCTTGTGTCCACATTGCTCTGGTGGTTTAGGACCCCTATAACTCAGATTTTTTGTCTGGATGTGCAGAAACTTTTTGAAACAATCACACCCATGACACCCACTTCCTCATTGGGTCTAAACTGTCGCTACATGCTGTTACCTGATTCCTCAAGCTTCTGCCACGTGACATATTCTGGCAGAACGCCAGCAGCTAATTTAACACGAATAATGAATTTTAGACGTTGCTGACCTAGTTGTCTATGCTGTTATGCAATTAAGGGAATCTCCGGTCTTATTTGAAACCAACTCTCTTGTGCATTTTCAAGCGTTTTATTACACATTAACATGATTACTAAAATGGTGCTAAAAAGTTTGGCTTTTCGTTTAAAATGAGAATATATTACTGTGTAAGACTTTGAAGGTCAGCTGCTCTTTTCCTTTGTTTCAGGGGTCTGTTCATCATCGACGACAAGGGCATCCTGAGACAGATCACCATCAACGACCTTCCAGTGGGACGCTCCGTCGAGGAAACCTTGCGTCTGGTCCAAGCCTTTCAGTTCACCGACAAGCACGGAGAAGGTGAACTACTGCTGCGCTTCTGTGGCACCTCTTCATTCCTATTAAACTGTTTCCAACAGCTTGAAACATGCTGCACTGTGAGCGACGTAATTAAGTCTAATCCTGCTCTCTTTGACCCAAATATGATTAAATTGAAAATGGAACTCCTCTATGTTTAACCACATCACGTTATTTGACTATAAAATTGCTGCTGGCTTATTGAGGCATAGTCAAATTAGAAGGTTTGTACCTTATCAGTGCTGATATTCACATGAACGTTAAAACACAAGTTGAGGAATGAATAGGCACTAAAAGGAGAGAAACGCAACCAAACCTCTCATACATTTGCCTGTTAAACACCAATAACAGTGCAGGTTTCTCAAGCGTACGTGTGTCATCTTGGCACCTCTTTGCTGTTTCGTCTGCCGGCCAGGACTCATTACAGGCTTATCTTTTCAGTCTGCCCAGCCGGCTGGAAACCAGGAAGCGACACCATCAAACCCGACGTCCAGAAGAGCAAAGACTTCTTCTCCAAGCAGTGATGAACCCAAGGCCAGAGTCTGCCGCCTGCTGTAGAAGATTTCATTTCACGATCACATTTCTAACGATATTTAAGTCAGCCGCTGTGCCTGTGGAGGAGCGGTTAGGAGGCCGCCGTCGTTGTAGTCAACATGTTGTGTGTGTTTTGTTGTTTGTAACGTTACAAGTGCACTTAGACCAAAGTATGTAATCGTGTAATGATGTCGGCTGTGATACGCCGTCTTTGTTCCATCATTCCTCACTGTTAGGTTTTTATTTGGCAAGAAGCCACAAACACTTCTGCTTTTTATGTTGTTGTTGTTGTTGTTGTTTTTTATTACACTGAACAACAGATGTTCTTTCATCCAAATAAAGAAAACAGAAAACCAGTCACACTAAAGAACACATCTGCTTCATATTTATGTTTTTTTCATCACGAGGGACATGTTGAATAGTTATTAATGATGAGGGGTTTTCTGGTATTTATTACATCTGTTACCTGAGGGAGCAAAACAAAAACAGTCCAAGTGTATGGAACAAAGCTGAGGACCTGAATTACATCCAAAGACCTTTAATAATATAAAAATATTTAATGCACCCTTTCCACAGGTGTAATTCCACACAAATGTAAGAATTTACTTTTTAGTCTCTTTTTTTCTTTTTAATATAAAAGCTGGACCTATTGATTAATTTTTTTGTTGTTAAATCTTAAAATGTGGACTAAAGCCTGTCCAGTGCAGTAACCATGGTGACAGTGGTGACGTTATAGACATACTTTGAGCGGGAAAAAGTCACGGTAAGCTCGTCATTGATATTACTTCTGGGTATTGAAATATATTTTTTAACAATATCCTTACCTGCTCAGGGTTCAAATAGGCTTCTTAGACTACTTAGAAAAAATATTTAAATAACGCTAAGTTTAGACGAAAGTTTTATTATTATTAAAGTTCGCTGTTCGTCAACATTTATGTTCGCTCGCCCTGTTAGCTTGTTTCTTCGTTAGCATTAGCACACCTAGCGAGCTAACCTTCGACTTAAAGGCAGAAGAAACGATGGCAGCAGGAAAAATGTGCCTCGGGAGGAACAAGGAGGAAACTGCAGAGGTTTGAACTCACCATATATGAACTAAAGATAGCGTTTATTTACTGTTTGTCGGTGTTGAATTTGCGCAAGCTAACATTTAGCCATGAAGTCAAACGCAGGCTAACATTAGCTAAGGCGGTGCTAACGTCTTTGTTCTGGTTTTGTCAGTGGACAGGACTGTTTGTCAACGATCTGAAAACCAAGCAGGAGTCTCTGGTCTTCGTCAAGAGGATGATGGCTGTGGCTGTCTCCACCATCACCTATCTCAGAGGGATTTTCCCGGAGGATGCCTACAGATCCAGATACCTGGAAGGTGAACACGTCTGGACACCAATAGCTCATAAATTCAGGGACATTTTGTAATTTAAAGTATGGAACATTTAACATGATTTAACCTAATGTTGTTTTAAAACTTGCATATTTTTGACATGTTTCTAAATAAATCCAAGTGTGTAGGAAACTTCTTGAAGGGAAATAATAACTGAAGATGTTAGAAAAGGATCATGTTGGTAATTATTATTGTTTATTAAAGAATATTAAATCATTCTGTTTTTGTCACTTCTTTTTGTAGATTTGTGCATCAAAGTTTTGCGTGAAAACTGCAACACCACAGGTGCCAGCAAAGTTGTGAAATGGTAAATATAGCACCCCAGAAGTCAGACCACTTTCCAATTTGGAATGTCTGCAGTAATATTTAGGTTTTGATGGTATTATCCCACCCAGATTGATATTTTCAACCTTTTTCCGCTGGTTTTTCAGGCTGATGGGCTGCTTTGAAGCATTAGAGAAGCAGTATGTAAGTAGATTACAACCGTGACTACTATAAGTTTGTAGTACCTAACATTGTTTGCCATTCTGATCACTAATGCTACTTTTGTTATTGTAAATGTTGTCCTCTCTATAGCTCCAGATTGTGTACATCGGGGTAAGTAAATAAAGTCACGGCAATAACATTTAAACTATTTCTTCCTTCGACAATGCTGACACCAATGCCTGCATGTTGTTATTCTTGCAATCCAGGTCTACACTGATCCAGATAAACCCAATGTAAGTTCTGTCTTGAGTTACTGAACGCTTTCAGTGCCAGCGTGAGTTCTCAGTGTGATTATTATCAGTAAGGAACATTTATTTTTTCTCGTTTTGCAGTGTATTACTGAGTCCTACCAGTTCAAATTCAGATACACTGAAAAGGGGCCAGAGATTGACATACTCAGGTTTGGATAGATCTGTGTTTGCATTTATCACATAGACCGGGCTGAGGCCAGCTGAGTGAGCTGATGGATGTAACCCTGTTTGAAACCACAGGAACAGGAGTATGGAGATGCAGGTGACTTTGGAGGACACCAAGAGAGCCTCAGTGCTTCTCATCAGGAAGCTCTTCCTGCTCATGCAGAACCTGGACGCCCTCCCCAGCAATGTCTACATGACCATGAAGCTCTACTACTACGACGACAGTAAGACATTTACTGTGTCGAAGCACGAATAAAGAATGTTTTTTGAGTTTTTGTTTAAAACATCCTACCCTGTTTTGTTTTTAAAGTCACCCCTGCAGACTACCAACCACCAGGCTTCAAGGAGGGGGAATGCGACAACCTGTGGTTTGAAGGCATCCCTGTGCACTTCAGGGTGGGTGAGGTGCAGACGGCCTTCCACAATTTGAGAGTGCGGGTGTCGGCCGATCAAGGCCGGGTGGAGAAACTCCAGAATGGAAACCACTTGAGGGAAGCCAAGCAGGTTCCTGAAAGAATTTCTCCTGAGAAGGAAGTGACGAGGGTGAGTCTCAGCTCTCTCATGGAACAAAGTCGTTTTTAATCATATTGCTGCCAGTTAATTATCTCCAAACATCTGGCTCCAGGTGGAAGATGATCTCCCATCTGAAGACGGTAAGTCTGTGTGCAGCTACATTTCTGAAAATGTAAAGTTGACCATGGGGGCTTACACTGATGATTTCCTTTAAACAGAGTCTGCACAGTTTAAGAAACCGACAAGAGCTACGAAAAAGGTAAAGTTTTACTAGAGGCATAATGGTAGCAAACATTATTTTTTTAAACTATATATATAAGTTGTAATAAGGGTTAATGCAAACTCAGTAGTTTTTTGTCTATCTCAGAGAAAACCAGCTTCCAGAAATCTGTCGAGGAAGAAAAGAAGAACTTAGGCACCGTGACAAGTGAACAAACAGAAATGCGATGAACTTCTTCATTGTGGTGTAATGTTCACATACACTGTTTATGTTGTGTTACAATTAACGTGTTAGACGAGTTCCTTCGATGACTAACTCGGCCCTCAAGGCAGGACGTTACAGTCACAGTTCTGATTTACACGACATTGTACAAAAAAGCGTACATTCTTGATTAATTTAATCAATACTACTATTAAAAGTGTTTATTTCTTAGTATTGGCTGTGTACGAAAAATACTGATGTATATAGTTGAAAAAATAAAGTTTGACGAACATTGTTTTGTTGTATAAACGTGTAAAATACATTTGAAATTGTATACTTCATATAAATCGTAAACATTACTGAGGCAGTCATGAAGCACAATATGAAACTCATTTATAGTAAAATATATGAAATCAACGGATAAATCTTTATCTAGATCAGACTGGCTGAGGCAATAGTGCTTATTATGTTTAATTTTCATGCATTTCCACCCACATTCGTCTCCCTACTCTGCTATGATACTGCGGCCTCAGTTGCACAGTCGTTAGATGGCTTTTCCCTGAGCGATGGAAGAAATGTCTGATTGAGTCTCTGGCTCGGTGCTGCAGCTTCCTTTGGCTGTGTGGTCTAGAAGAGGCTGTCCACGTCTCCCATCTCCACAAACACAGTCTTCAGCTGGGTGTAGTATTCGATCGTCACCTGGCCGTTCTCCCGTCCTATGCCTGGTGAATGTAAGGAGAAGAAATTTACTTGCATATTGCTTATCGCGACTGGGCAGTTTTTCTCTCAAAGAGGTTTTTAGCACAGGTAAAAATAAAAGGCCAAAATGCTAAGATTGGGACTTTAAAAAAGTACATTTTACTGTGAAGTAGTTTTGTTAATTGGTGTTTCATGTACTGAAGCATAATCATAAACATTTTTGTTTGTTGAAAAGTGCACAGATTTCAGTTAGATGAGGTAACACTAACTCACTGCCTTGTATATTGACCGGTCTAACTGTGGTGTGTTGTCATGCCCTAAAACACCCCGCGAGGATGCACTAACATTTGTTTTTCTTTCTAATACAAGGACATACTCTCCACAGAGGTCAGATTAGATAAGGAGAACTATGTCAGTGTTCTGTGCAGGCGTATTCACTACGAATAGATCTGGGTCATATAAAAAAAAAACTGTTTGTTGTAACCTGGTCTGACAACAAAACTGGTGACGAGTCCAATTAAACATTAGACGAGGTAATAACATGCCTGTGATGTTTAGCTCGTGGCCAAATTGAAAACGGCAAACCTGTACCTGACATTTTGAAGCCTCCGAAGGGCACCTCCACAGGAGTGATGTTGTAGTTGTTGATGAAGCAGGAGCCAGCCTTGAGGTGCTCGACCACGCGATGGGCTCGCCGCACGTCCCTACAGACGCACGACAAGGTAAGGTGAGGCGTTTGTTCATTTTAAGGATATTAAAGTGATAATGTGTTGGGCTAGATTTACAAAAATACTGAGAATGATTCCACAGTAGCCAGGTGTACATGCTTTTCCTGACCTATCATTTGTCATATTTAACATCTTTCACTGCTGCTTTAAACGTAGATTATTCATTCATGTGGCTGTGACTTTGCCATCACCACAAGCCAACCTGGTGAAAACGCCTGCAGCCAGACCCATCGTGGTGTCGTTGGCTCTCTGCAGCACCTCCTCTTCTGTTTCGAAGGACAGCACAGACATGACTGGACCGAAGATCTCCTCCTTCACACAGGTCATCTCATCCGTGCAGTTGCCTAGAAGGGGATGAGAACATGGGAACACTGACCACAACAATCTGCAACAACAATAGATTTTCTGCGTCCACTTGTGCAAGCAGAGCTTACCCAGGACACATGGGCTCATGTAGTATCCACCTCTGAGTTTGGGATCTGACGGGACAAAAGGTTCGCCCCCGCACAACACTGTTGCTCCCTAGTAACACAGAAAGTTTACACTCAGTTGGAGTTGTTGCACCCAAAACTATTCAGATAGTATTTAAATGCTTCGGACAAGTCTCACCTCTTTCTTTGCCTGATCAACAAAGGATAAGACTTTTTCTAGATGTGACCGGCTGACCAGCGCTCCCATTCTGGTGCTCTCGAGCAGAGGGTCTCCTATTTCGATTGCTTGGGTCCTCTTCACCACCTCCTCCACAAACTCAGGCAGAATGTCCCTCTGAACAAACACCCTTGTTCCATTGCTGCAGACCTGTGATACACACACACACACACACATATATATATATATATATATATATATTTATATATAAGAGCCCAATGAATGCAACAGAGATATGCTTTAGTGTGTAAGCCGGATATAAACTGACATTTTTGTCAATAAAGCAGCAGGACACACTACCTGGCCTTGAGACAGAAAGTTGGCCATGAGAGCCCCCCTCACAGCGTTCTCCAGATCACTGTCCTGAAAGATGAGCAGAGGAGATTTCCCCCCAAGCTCCAGCGTCACCGGTTTCACCCCCTTAGATGCCATCTCCATAATCTGTGGATGACATACAAGCCGTATCGCAGCTCAAGACAGGAAAGGCTCAACGTCTTTAACGCAATATTTATGCCTCCCAAATGTTGGTGATTACAGACCTTCTGTCCTGTGGGCACGCTCCCAGTGAAAGACAACTTGGCGACATCGGGATGGTGACACAGCAAGCCGCCCGTCTCCTGGCCGCCCTGTACCACGTTGAACAGCCCCTCTGGAGCTCCGGCCTGCGTGTAGATCTCCGCCAGCAGGACTGCAGTCACAGGAGTCACCGGTGATGGCTTAAACACCATGGAGTTACCTGTAGTGGAGGAACGAGACGAGAAAAGCAAGTAAGATTAGTTTGACTCATGTATTCAACCAAAACGCAGTCAAAAGCTACACCTACAGTTATTCCAACCCATCCCTAATATGGATCTATAGTGAATTTTGACCAGTAGGTTTCTTCTGGCTGCGTATGACAAAGAAGTGTCAGAACACTGATTTAGAGAAGTTAATAGATTTAAACTTTTTCTAAGCTCTTTGGTTCGAGCCATGGCTTGCAAGTAAATTAGAATGCAGTAAAACATGGTATAAATCTGGACCATTCACAGTAATAAAGAGGCTGCATGTTAAAAAAAAAAAAAAAAAAAAGCAATAATTTTGAATATATTGTATATAATAAGCTGCAAGGTGGCTCGGTGGTTAGCATCATTGCCTCGCAGCTAGAAGGTTGCTGGTTCGTGTCCCGGTGAGGACACCCGGGATCTTTCTGCGTGGAGTCTCCATGTTCTCCCCGTGCAGCGTGGGTTCTCTCCGGGTTCTCCGGCTTCCTCCCACACAGTCCAGAAACATGTTGAGGTTAATTGGTGATTGTAAATTGTCCGTAGGTGTGAATGTGAGTGTGCTTGGTTGTCTGTCTCTAAGTGTAGCCCTGTGATAGACTGGTTACCTGTCCAGGTGAACCTGCCTTCACCCTGAGTCAGCTGGGATAGACTCCAGCCCCCCATGACCCTAGTGAGGATTAAGCGGTGTATAGTAATGGATGGATGTATATAATAATTCTCAACATTTTTAGGAAATAATTACAAACCCCCCTTAAAAAAAAACCTTACAAATAGTCCCAATTCATCATTAACATCTGTAAGACAAGGTGTTACTGTTATTTGTCACCTATTTATGTTATATAGAGCAGGAAAAAACTATTAGTCGAATGTAAATTTACTATAAATCAATATGGTGTACAGGTATGAGTAATTTTGGCCTGAACTATATGCCAAATAATACAGAATTCTACACAGTTATGGTGAAAGACAACAGTAACTGGTGATCAGCAGTGTCGATGGATTAAGTCTCGTTACATCAGAAACGTGTGAGTAAAGAGAATCACAACCGCTGGGATGCAGCCATTTAAATCCATCACTGAGCTGTAGTGCCATCTATAGGTACAACGCCAGTAATTATTTTTTCTAGATTGATCTGTGTGTGTGTGTGTATACAGTCGTCCTCAAATGTATTCATCCCCTTCCGTTAAAGAAAAGGCAAAATCCACAACAGTCACTCAAATACCTAGAAACTGAAAAAAATAATAATAAATAAAAATTTGGTAAATTAGAATTTAGTGAAATAAGAGGTTACTTTTGAATTGTGGTTGAAAAGAATAATTAAAAAAAAAACTGGCTCGGACAAATTAGGGCACTTTGCTGATGAGCAGTGGGCCAGAATACCTGTCAACAGGTGCAGAAGTCTGACTGAGAGTTACAGGAAACACCTGATTGCAGTGATTGGCTCAAAGGGCTGTTCAACTAAATATTAGTTTACGAGTCTCATCATGCTTGTTTGTTTTGTTTATATTTCTGTTGAACCACAATTCAAAAGCAATGTCATGATTTTCACAATTTTTTAAAAATTTTCTTATGACTTTTGTCAATTTCAACTTATTTCAGTGGCAGCTGTTTTTTTTCTTTTTTAATGGGAGGGTATGAATAAATCTGAGGACAACTGTAGCTGTGTTTACAGCAGTTTATGTCAAATATGTCAAACCTTGAAGAATCTGACAACAAATTACAAAAAATGGTAAAATATATAAAGAAATCCATCCATCCATCATCTCTACACCTTAATCCTCACTAGGGTCGTGGGGGGCTGGAGTCTATCCCAGCTGACTCAGGGTGAAGGCAGGTTCACCTGGACAGGTAACCAGTCTATCACAGGGCTACACTTAGAGACAGACAACCAAGCACACTCACATTCACACCTACGGACAATTTAGAATCACAATTAACCTCAGCATGTTTCTGGACTGTGGGAGGAAGCCGGAGAACCCGGAGAGAACCCACGCTGCACGGGGAGAACATGGAGACTCCACGCAGAAAGATCCCGGGCATCCTCACTGGGATGTGAACCAGCAACCTTCTTGCTGTGAGGCAACGCTGCTAACCACCGAGCCACCTTGCAGCCCATATAAAGAAATATAAATGTAAAATATATATCCACTGTCATATGTACCAAACTTGGGAAAGACTGAATCCATCCAGAAATGTTTCCTGCTTTAAAGCCACACTGTTCATTTGCTACATTGTAGGATTATCCAGACATTTAAGTTTTTCCCTGGCTCACAGTCAAACTTCTTAACAGCCAAACATATATACTAATATATGTGTCCGTCCTGACAGAATCTCATACCACAGGCCAGGGCTGGAGCTGACTTCCAGGCAGCGATCTGGAAGGGATAATTCCAAGCACCGATACCGGCACAGACTCCCAGAGGCTCCCTACGGGTGTAGGCAAAGGATCCTCCTGGTAGCTGGACATGCTGGCCTTGACAAAGGAAAACAGAAGCATGATTAGGTAAAAAAATATATATTTCTAAGATTCTTTTTTTTTCTTTTTTTTTTACATTTTAGCCTTTGACAGCCTTTGGATACACATCACATCTACATATCATGGGCTCCCCCACTAAGCCCTAAGTTTTTTTAATAGTGGTTCACCTTGTCAGCTGTTTTATTTCTGACTTAATAGCTGAGTGTTTGGGACAGTAAGTGAAAAAGCTGTACCAACCTGCCAGAGTGCTGGCCAGTCCTGCGTAGTACTCTATACACAGTCTGGCAGAGTCCACATCCAGACGGGCCTCTGTGATGGACTTCCCGTTGTTGACCACCTCCATCTCAGCTATCTCCTCTCTCCTGCTCTGTGCACGAAAACCAGGACAAGAGCAAAAAAAACTGTACTCGTGTAGAAACAGCACTGGACGTACAAAACGTGAAGGATGCTCTTTTCATGATGTTCAATTAAATTAGAGAGTAATTTACAGAGTTTCACAATAGGAAGAGAACAAATGTGTTTTTTTTTAAAGCGTTTAAGAGTCGACTGAGACAATAAAAAAGTAAAATCAGCCACAACTCAGCATTAGAAGAAATTATGAAAGTTTGTTATGTATGATATCTGCAGCATCTTATTTCAGATATTCTAAAAATCTAAAACTGCAAACAAACACAGAATAAACACCTCAATGATGTGGGCAGCTTCTATCATGGTCCTCGCCCTCTCCATCCCCGACATTTTGCTCCAATGGCCAAAGGCTGACTTTGCAGCTTTCACAGCCTGATCAACCTCCACAGCGCCACACGGCTCCAGATGGCACAAGACACGGCCTGCAAAATAAAACGTGATTAATCAAACTAGAGCTGCAACTATTAATCTATGTAGCGGTCAACTATTAAATTAATATCCAACTATTTATAAATGGTTTGGATGATTTTTAAAAGGAAAAAAAGTTCTTAAATTTGAGTATTTTGTGGTGTTTCTCCTCCACTATGACAGAAAACACAGTAAAGGATGTCATCTTAGGCTTTGGGAAACACTGACCTACATTTTTCACCATTTTCTGACATGTATTGATCAGACAACTTGTAATATAAAGACAATTTCTTGTTAATTTATTGATTAGTCAACAGTGTAAATAGTCATTAGTTGGTCCAAACAGTTAAATGTACAAACAACAGCTCAGAATTTCTGTTCCATAGGGCCATGTTGTTTTGCTCTGTTCATGCTGTTAGTACTGATTCAGTGTCAGTTGTTCCTCTGTGACAAAGGAAATTAAGTTTAGGCCCGTAGGCTTTAGGCTGTGGCGCGCTGCGGAGCTGGAAATTACATTCCCAATGATGACAGTAATGATAAGGAGTATTATGCCACCTGAACGGGCTGCACGCTGTGTGTTAGCTCAAATTTGATAAGATGCTCGGATTAAAAAGGGGAAAGAAGCCACAAAGAAAGAGCATTAGATTAAATCTTTAAGGCAATGGGTGCACGCCTGGCAGGCTGTAGTTGTTAAGGTTGTTGGTTTAGAGGTCATAAAACTAGTTGAATGAGCAGCTATGGGGATGTGCAGTATGGCATGTGAAAGAGGTGTGCTGCAGAAATGAGTATGCCAAATGTAGACAGATATTTTGTAGAAGGACAACTAGAAAGTAGGGCAGACAGTATGTCCTGATGCTGGTTTACTTTAGGAGAGATCACCACACTCATCCTCACAAAGCAGCGACCAAAGTCCAGTTTGGAGTCAATAATGTACAAAACGAGACACTTTTTTTTTCTTCGTTTGATATATTATTTAATAATGTGTGTGCCTTACCAGTTGCAGGCTCGTAAACATCTTCCCTGCACTTCTCCGGGCCTCTCCTTCTCTTCCCAGCCCAGAAGTTCAGCGGGGCCTTGATGTCCACGGAGCCCGAGGAGGCGCACCGCACAGCCGCGGCGAGAGGAGCAGCAGCAGCGGGCCGCCGACACGACAACGCAGCGAGCCTCTGGAGCATGTTTACACCGGCTCAGTGGCTCCGAGTTTATTAAATCACTGTAAAAACACACAATGTGAAGGTTAAGCTCACGAAGCGCTGTCACTTTACCGACATTAGAAAGAGGAGTTTTACCCAACTGCACCAAGTATGTAGAACTGCTAGCGGTTGTTTTCTTTGTCATTTGTGTGATTTACTGTTGTACTTAACTCTCAGTGATACACTTACCTCAAATAGTCTGCACATTAAATGCGGCTATGAAGGCTAAGAATATAAATCTAACTGTAAATATAATGTTGGGTTACATTTCGCTGTTTTAGCTGAGGCTCAACGAGGGGCGGGGCTAAGAGGCTGCGGCGGTTGCTGATTAGCAGCGATCAGAGCGTAGCAGCCTATTGGATAGTTTCGCTGTCAATCACAAAAAGCGTTATTAAAAAATCTACGAATTTATTCAGTATCGCGTATATGTGTATTTATGTGAACTTAAGATTGAAATGCTTTCTAATAAATATATGTAGAAGTAAAATTTGCCGCCATATAAATTTCTGGTCGGCGTTGTGGGAGGAGCTCCGTCACAATGATGTTCCAGCACGGCAGCCCAGTCGGCACATTGCAAGTATGGCCGGAGACAGCGAGACGCATCTAAGGGACCGTAGCGAGAACACCGACATTATTCGGCAACCTTTCCTCATCGGTGTCTCCGGAGGCACCGCCAGCGGCAAGGTTGGCTCTCTAGCTGGCTAGTTTGGTGGTTTTCGCGACGTGTCACGCGTATATTTTGCGTTAAATCCCGGCTGCGGGGCTCTCCGGCAGCCGGGTGCTAATGACCGCGTGGCTTCAGCGACGCAACGTTGAGGCTTGATTGACAGCTCTATCATCTGGTTAACCATCCGGCTCACTGCTAGCACCGGTTTAGCTTGCTTTCCCGCTGTCTGTGGTGCTGAACTTTGCGTTTGTTTAGTTGCCTTTTTTTCCCTCGGCTGAACTACCCTGTAGACTAGTTTCAAGCGGAGCCCACTGATGTTAGCCGCCTAAGCTAACGTCAAATTCCATCACATGCTAGCAGTGCCGGGTGGGCTCAGACAATAGCTACTGTTAGCTTACCTCTAAGCTGTTTGTAAACATTGTGAACCACATTTTTTCCCCCACGCTAGAGTGCCCTCATTAGCACATGCTAATGCTACATGTGCGAGTGTAATACTCGTGTCGTGGCGTCAAATGTGTATTTCAGGGTGAGTGACCTGAAATGACCGCTATCGTTAAATAACGTTAACCTAGATGTTGGTTTAAGCGAGTGATAACAGTCAGAGCCGCCCGCGGGAAAATCTCCATTGAGAGATTTCAACCCGCCTCGCTTTGTTCCATGTCGCTGTAATGTCAGAAAGGAAAAAAAACAAGTTTTGAGCAGGTTTGTCTAGATTAATAAAATATTAATCGAGCTTAAATTGGAACAGAAATTGAATTTAAACCACCCGCTCGGTGGATATAATGGCTCCGCAGAGTTTTTTCCGTTGCTGCGTGGGCAGCGCTGAACTCAGAGCCGCCGCCGACTCTCTTCTTGTTCAGCGGAAAGGGACACAGACGTGGCTATTTTTTTTTTTTCGAAGACGTCATTAGATTTCTTTGTTATACATCTGCTGTGTTTTCCGACTTACGAGCGGTGCCAGAAAGCCCACCTCGACTGAACACGGCGGAGAAGCTCCCCGGTGACAGCCGCGATGCTTCGTGTTAAATTGGGGGCTTATCTTCACATTTTATGGCTTTTTTTTTTTAGTGTCGTTCCGGTTACATTTGAATGTAGATTCATCAGACTGAGAAATGAAGGTGAGACTGTAAAAGACTCGCCTCCTTCCTTCTAGTTTTATGCCTGTTAGCCCCTCCTCCCAACTTTGTCCCAGATATCAACACACTGGCGCTAAGCCAGTGTTTTGCTTCCTGGAAGGGGGGCAGGAGGAAGGGGTTACTGGTAGGCCACACTGGACCAGTTTTAATTACTCATGGTATGGATGATGTCATTTTCCAAACTCGGATGCTTTTTCCCTTTTTATCAGACTCCCTGCTGATGCTTGATAAAAGTACGATTTGACATCTCTTGTACTTCCGTCCAAAAATTATCTTACCAACAATCATTGCTTTAGTGGGACTGACAAATGTCAGTCAAAAACCCAAAACATGTTGTTTATGGTGAGCTATAAGTGCTTAAAAGATATGGACTATTTTAACTCAAAATTTCCTTACAGTTTCAAAATGTTCAGTGATTCTGTCTTGTCAGTGTCACCAGACTGGCTTTGAGGTGCGTTCAAAGTCAGGCCCTCTTGTCTGAAACTGCTGCATTTGGGTGGATCGACACGACCTGCCAGCTCCCGAGTGGGGGCGTCCAAATTCATTGTAGCACAGTTTTATCGGCACAAAGGCAGCAGGGCCTCGGGCAGCTGGGGAATGCCCCGTCAGCACTGGACATGGGATTCTTTTCGTTGGGGAGGTCATGGAGGACAAACGTGGTGAACTACAGGGCAATTTGCCTCTGGATGTTAGTTGACTTCACACAAGATGGGGAAACTACCTACCCATCCTTTTTCCGTGTTTAGCAAAAATAATAATTCTCTTCCGCGGTCCGCTTGTGATTTGTATTTTTTTAACCTCCAGGCATGCAAGCTCATCAGGTGACATTCTGCAACTGTCTTTATTTTTTTTCTTCTTCTTCTTTCGATCTGTTTCTGCAGTCGTCGGTATGTGAGAAGATCATGGAGCTGCTGGGGCAGAACAAGATCGACCACCACCAGCGGCAGGTGGCGATCCTCAGCCAGGATAGTTTCTACAAGGTGCTGACTCCAGAGCAGAAAGCCAAGGCACTAAAGGGCCAGTTCAACTTTGATCATCCAGGTATGAAAACATCAGATAGTTGGTGCCACAACTTATCTGCTGTTATCTTACTGCAGGCACAGGGTTACTAACTGTCAAGAGATCTGCATGCAAAATTTATTTTATTTAAAAAAAAAAAAACTGGTTTAACATGAGATTTGATCTGCAAGTGTGTTTAAATTGCAGGTGTGTGGTTCTGGAAGTATGCAACTTACTGCACTGCAAACTGAATTATGTATGACATCATTGACTTAATTAATGTCAGCTGAGGTTGATATATATCACTATCAAGATTAAGAATAAATGCTTAGGTGGCGGTGACTACAGAATGTTTAGATCAGGCTTATGTCCAGCCAGACTGATTATGTGGCTTTGCTGCCACGTTGATAATTTTCCCAAAGCGTTTTTGGCAGAAGCAGACGCTCCATTTTTGGAGTCTGACTTTGCCCCCTCTTGCTCCTGCCTCCTTTCTCAGCTGATTTGAAATCCCCACAGTCAGCAAGCCTTCCTCGGAGGCAGCTGCTCTAAAGCTCAGAGACTAAACGCAGCACCTGTTACACGAGAGTGATTCCTGGGTTACCAAACGTGCAGTGCAGAGTCCCACGTGTCCGTGGGCGTACACCACGCTGCTGTAAAAGGGGTTAAATCATATAAAGGTCACAACTAAGAATATGCCTTTTGTTGTCCTCAGATGCCTTCGACAGCGAGCTGATCATGCAAACGCTCAGGGAAATCCTGCAGGGGAAGACTGTCCAGATCCCAGTTTACGACTTTGTCACTCATTCCAGGTGAGCACCTCTTTGTTTCCTGCACACTTGCTCTTTAATCATAACACATCATCATGTGTTCCTGCAGAATAAAAACTTGATAAGGGACTGTCACTTGTGCCAAACCGGTTCCTGTATCTGATGTTTTTTCTCATGCCATCATTGTTTAATCAGTTGAAGTTTGCATAATGCGTGTCTGAGTTTAGTCACTCACAGAAAGGCGCAAACTTTTCTGTGTGTGTTCTTCCAGGAAAGACGAGTTTGTTACGGTGTATCCGGCTGATGTGGTCCTGTTTGAGGGAATCCTCATGTTCTACTCACAGGAAATCAGAGATCTGTTCCAGATGAAGCTGTTTGTTGACACAGATCCAGACACGCGGCTGTCACGTCGAGGTGTATAGCGAGTCTTTGTCACTGAAGTGCACTCATTTATCAGTTGACTCTTGCAGTGGATAGTGTGGTCTTTTACATTAATGTGTGTTGTTGTCTTTTTGTACAGTGTTGGTAAAAAGCTATTTGTGTACTTTCTCTGTTCCAGTCCTAAGAGACATCAGTGAGCGTGGCAGAGAGCTGGAGCAGGTGTTGGCTCAGTACATCACGTTTGTGAAACCGGCCTTTGAAGAGTTCTGTTTACCGGTAAGTGAATTTCCCAACTTGTTTTTGATTGTTGCGTAGAATGTGATCACCAGGACGGCCAAAACTATCATGCAGTTTTAACCAGACACAGAGACGGTGGTGTAAATGTTCAAAGAAATTCAGCACCGAGAGGCTACAGAGATAATTAATGAGAGAGGAGACAGACTTACTGTTGTCCACCAGAGAGATGAGAATATTTTAAAGTTTAAAAATCATTCTGTAAAGTGCTGCAATCTGTTCTGATCACATTCAAGTGATCGTTATGAAAAGTGCTTCTATGCTTTGTGTCAGTTGATTAAATAGGATCAGATATTAAAAAGTCAAGCCTCCCTCTGGCTGTAGTGGCCAGAGCATGTCTGATCATGACAAACTGTTATTTTGAGTAATTTTTGACATCGTCTTTATTCCTACTAGACAAAGAAGTATGCAGATGTGATTATTCCACGAGGAGCAGATAACCTTGGTAAGGCCAGATCATTGTCATTATTATTGCTGTTTTTAGTGCAGACATTACATTTGTGTTGGACAGGTCTGGACATGTTTCTGTAATCATCATCCAGCTCCTCTTGACTCTCCAAATGTTACTGATCTGAAGCTATCAGATTCTGACTACAGGGAGTCATCTGGCAAGGGTTTGTGACTCTTACAAAAATCAATTGTCTATTTCAAAGTCGCTCCTTTTCCGGTCTTTGAGGGAGAGAATAATTTTTGGGTCAGTATGAGTCACACAAGGAGCACAAACGACGACAGCATTAAAACTGGTGGGCCGTGAGCTAGTCGCTGCCAGAAATATTACAAGATAGAGAGGCATCACTTAATCAATCCTGAATAGAAATTCATGGGAGGCTTCCATCACGTTGGTGGCCTGGCGCAAGAGCAGCATCAAAACACGAAGCTTTTTAAGCAGGTTTTATGTCATGGAGACCATTGAAATGACATTTATTTTGTAGGGACCTGGTCTCGTTAGCACGGAAGCATTAAAAGGTTGGCAAGTGGTGAGATTTGCCTTTCAAGACCACTTAATTAACTTAGTTAGCCTGAAATGAAAATCATATAAATACAACTTAAATGTAGAACTAATTAGTTTACCGAACACAGATGACAGTGAGCTTTCTACACTTGCCAATCGTTCTTTGTTGACTAGTTGATTTACTATACAGACGTGAGTCAATAATCCGACCCTTAACAATCCTAAACCTTGCTATCGGACAGGTTTTTAGGAAAAACCAACAGAACCCATAAAAACAGCCTTAACATACCGACAGCCTTGGATTCTGACTCCAACATGACATTTTATGTCACCAATCAGGATAACGGCGTATTATCTGACTGAACAATCCCACAGATTGGCTATGTTCACACTGCAGGACTTGATGCTCAATTTTTTTGTGAGTTCCTTCACATTTCCAGTTAAATGCGACTTGTATGTGATCTGCTGTGTGAACTTCATACGACCCAAAAGTGTCCCGCATGCGCAGAAGAGGACACGACGACGTCACACGCAGCGAGTGTGCTCAGTGTTTCCACCATTGGTGGCACCACCGATGATGGAAACAGAAGTGTGAGCGCTAACTAAACTAGCATCAGCAGCCAAGTACTGCCTGTGTGTTCTGGACACTTCCACCCTGTCGGAGAGCTCCCCCGGGGTGGAAGTGTCCCCCGACCGCGACGAATATTCAGATATTCATCATTAATTGGGCCTGAATATCCAGAGACCAGAAAGTTCTATTGGGACCAGCCCTACTAGTTATTATAACAACTATGAACAATAAATATTAACAACTAATGAGCCTTCCAGCATCAAGCCCTCCTTGTATCTCGACCTCCGTTTTGACAATCCGACAGCCTTGCTATCCGACATAAAAGAAGGCTTTACATTTAGTGTCAGATTATTGAGTCATGACTGTATCTTCATCTGATGTGCTGCAACTACTTCGTCCAATGAGAAACACTAGCAACAGCTAACCATTCCTATTGGCTGCTAGCTTACTGTAAGTGAATGTAGCACGCCACATGTCAAACGTATCGACTGATGTGACGACCTTTCCATCAGCGATAGTTTATTGTAACACACTGGTTAATGTGCCAACGTTGCCTCAGAGCCTGACGCTGTTTCTGGGGCCTTGTCTGGAAACGACAAAACTCTCTGTGGTCGTTGGATTTTGATCTTTTTTGTAACCGCCTCTCTCTCCTTGCAGTGGCCATCAACTTGATAGTACAGCACATCCAAGACATTCTCAACGGCGGACTAAACAAGCGTCACAACGGCTGCATCAACGGTCACAGCACCCCGCGGCAGCGACGGACCTCTGAGTCAAGCAGCCGGCCTCATTGACCTCGTCACACCTCTCTTCACAGAGCGGAGAGGGGTGTGGGGGTCCAGCTGTAAATAATGCCCGTCGGCATCACTGTATTTAAGAAGGAGGGAAAAAGAAAAAAAAAAAAGGAGATGCAAAAAGAATTGAAATGCCTTTTATTATTACGACAACTCTTGTTATTAGTTACTTTCATTGTAATTGTTAAACTTGGGATTTGGATTTGTCAGGAGGATGAAGAGAAGCTCTTGTTAATCGTGTGATGAGACCATGGGTTAAATTTGATCCCACGCATTTTTGTCCCTGATTGCATTTTGTTTTCTTTTTCTTTTTTTTTTTTTATGTATCCCCTGCTGCTCCATGAAAATTCATGTTGATAATGAATAAAGGAGGGGAAACCTTTTTATTTATTATGTCTGATAAAACTTGAACCCCTAATGGCCGGGGGGGAGACGGATTAGTGTTCGGGACGGTTCCAAACGAGAAGTCTGTAAATTAGACAACAAACCAGGATTGCACTCTGTATTGACAATCTTGGGAGTGTTTCCTTCCAATGTTTTTTTTTTTTTCAGTGTTTAAGTTCCCTTATCGTGTTGTTCAGTGTAATGTGTTACACTATAAGTCTTGTTTACTACACAAAGTGTCCACCACATTGTTGAAACACATGATTTTTTTTCAGTATCTACTGTCACGTGCAGATTAACGTGACTACCAAATGAATGAAGCCAAATGCTGGAAGGTTCAGCTGACTGCTGTGTTAACCCAGACTAATGGAATTGTTCAAATATTTTAGATTGCTTGTCCCTTAGTTCATTGAAATGTAATGATTAAAACTCTTACGCAGGCATTCCTGTCTTTAAAAGTGTTTAGAGCAAAGTGTTCAACTTTGTAAATACGACTTTCTCTGCCCTAGTTTAGATGCGTAACCAAATCGGCTCCGTTGATTTCAAGAGAACATATATATAAATATACTCTCAGGTTCATGAAACCGATCGGTTTGAAATTCCAGGAAAAGTGAATAAATGGAAGTGTCGAACGCCACAGCAATATCCCAGGTGTGTGGCCATTAACCGCCGAGACCCACCGCAATGCCTCTGTAAAGCTGCCTCAGGTTCACGTGTACAGTAAGTATCCACGCTAGAATCCGGACTCCACTCGAATGAGGTTACAATAAAAAAAAAAAGCTGTTGACTCTTGTTTGTACGCCACGTGCTCTTTGTTTTTGTTGTGTATAGTGCAATCGGATGAATGATTTGTACCTTGAGATTTGTACTGTATGGCTGTTGGGTTGGGCTGCAGGGTGATTTATAACTGAATGAAGTCGTCAGTTGCTTAATGGTCAATAAACTGATGCAGCTGAGCCACCTGTCTGGAGTGTGTGATCATTTGTTGTGATCATCTGTTGTGTTGCTGGTCCCACTGTTGGCCTGCAGTGTGGCCACCAGAGGATGCAATTGTCTGCTGTTGTACTTGTGCTCACTTCAAGTGCCGGCAGGTATGTAAACACTTGGACACGTGTCATAGAAGTAAATCACATAGAGACACATAGCAGAAACGCCTACGAGTTATAAACAAAACAAAATAGCTTTAGGTTGCATTGAAAGACAGCTTTAATAATATGGTAGTTTCAAGCTTCATGCACATTATTTGAACTATTGCTGAAGCGAAAGAGCAAAAGCCAGTTGTTCTCACTGACAGAACTACTAAAAGAAATCTGCTGCTCGTATGCAGCAGATTTGTCGAGTGGCTGACTCCAAAAAAAAAAAAAAAAAAAGTGGCTGACTCCAAAAAAAAAGGGGCCAAACAAGAGCTTTACGGTTTAGAGTCTCGAATTTACGAGGGACCCTGAACGCACCAAGGAAAGCTGTCAACGGGGAGGCTCCAAGATGGTGGTACGTAGCCCTGCTGCTGCATGTTTTAAACTGTGCTTATCCAGTTTTTTAGTGAGTTTTAACTTCTCGTTTTGACCTGACAGAAGTTTGGGCTTCAGTTTAAAGCCACCTTGGAAAATGTCACCAAGGTGAGGCCGCTGGGCAACGACTTCCGCTGGTTTCTGAAGGTAGGTTGGCTACCAAGCTAGCTGCCATGCTAGTTTACCTATATAAATATTAGCATCCTTATTTTGTTCCCTGTCTGCGCTCGCTAATGTTCATAACTGTGTCCTACTCTTTGCTGACATTACACCCCCCACTCACATGCATATTGTACAGTTAATTAGAACGACACTGTTCACTATCCCAGTGTCTCATTCATAGATTTCAACCTGTAACTGTCTATTATGATGGTGCAGTAGCACCAATGTGGCACAGTCAAGTGTTTGCTTAGTGTTTGTTAAGTGTTGTTTAAGTGTTATTGAAGTCAGTGGTTCTCAAACTTTATGAGCCACGACCCCCAAGACAACATAGGTTTGTGTTCGTGACCCCCCAATTAGAATTTTTAATATATCATGAGTAATAACTTTGTTGTTCGTGCATTAATGCATTAAAAATTAGTGTGTTAATTCCACAGATTAATCTCTGGCGATCCTCTAAAATTATCTTGGGACCCCCATAGGGGTCCCAACCCCCAGTTTGAGAACCACTGGTTTAAGTGTTGGAACAATGTGTTCTTGTTCGTTTACTATTTCACCTCTTTAATCCAGCTGAAGTGTGGAAACTGTGGTGAGATCCCAGATAAATGGCAGTACATAACCCTTGTGGTAAGGATAAAAACCAACCTCTTTGCTTCTTTGCGCTTTATTACAAATGTGCATATACATATAAAATCTAACCTATATGTGTGTGTTTTTGTATTCACAGGAGAGCGTGCCCCTTAAAGGAGGCAGAGGCAGTGCCAGCATGGTGCAGAAGTGTAAACTGTGTGCCAGGGAGAACTCAATCGGTAGGCCCTACGCTGTAATGTAATGACTTTTGCCTTCATGCCTTGAGTTTAAAACTCTAAACGTATCCTCAAATGTCAACTTTTTCCTCACAGATATCCTGGGAGACACAATCAGTCCGTATAATGTAAGCAAACCTCTGGTCTGATTTCTTGCAGATCTGCATTTTACACATGAGACCTGTTTTGTCTGCGTCTAGCTACTCCAACATAAACTGAAGCTGCTGCTTACAATCTTTGCAGATAGTGTGGAGAATAAACGAGAACATTTATAAGGCTCTCTTTCTTTTTTTCTTTGTCAGCTGAACACTTTTTGCTGTTTCCTGTCATTTAAAAGCATCTGTTGGAGAATAATGGTTTTAGTAATAATAGTTTTGTTTGGATCGGAAAAAGCATGAATTCTTCTTACTTTTTGTTTCTGTCCTAATAATGAGAAGTGGCTCCTTTTCATTTAGGGGTGCAACTAACAATGACTGATGATTCATTTGCTGTTTATTCTGTTGGTAACTTTGTTGATTACTTGATTAGTTATTCGGATTATAAAATGTCAGAAAATGGTGAGAGATGTCGATCATTGTTTCCCAAAAGCCAAATGTTTTGTTTTGTTCACAAGATGTTCCGTTATTGAAACACAGTGGAGCAAATAAACCAGAAAATATTTAAATTTAAGAAATAAAAAATAATAATATAATAAATGATTTTTTATTATTTTTGTTATGTTAGTTAGCTAATTAATTAATAGTTATTTTATAGTTTATTTATTTATTATTGTTTTTTGAATTAATTTTATAAAATTATTATTATTTTTTTTTTTTTATAATGCCCCTTTAAAAGCAAAGGAAATATGCGCAGAAAAACGATATTCCTACTGTGCACATTTTTCTGTGCATATTTACTTTGCTTTTAAAGCGACATAATAAAAAATAAATGCAAAAATAAAAAAAATGCAAAAAACAAATTACAAAAATTAATAAATAAAAGTGTAAAAAAAAAAACAAACAAACATAAAAATATACATATATTAAAATAAATTATTTTTATTTCATTTATTTGTCTTTATTTTTCTGCTTTTATTAGCCTTTTCTTTTATGGATTCATTTTTGATTAATATTGCTTTATATTACCACATTATTTATTATTTATTTTATTTATTCTTCTTTTTATTTACACTTTTATTTTAACTTCTCTTTTATTGATTTATTTTTATAATTTGGCGCTCTCACTTGTCCATGTGCAGGTTTACCTTCTATAGAGTGGAAAAAAAACACAATTCCTATCACCTCCCTACAGCCTGCTGTTGGCATCATCACCCTATCACACTTGAACTTGTACTATAGCTCTTATCTAGATTGTTTTCTTCTGACTACATCCTTGGTTGTGTTGTATCTGCTCTCAGATGTACGTCACTTTGGATAAAATGAAGTTGTAGAAAACATCCCTCACCAGTGTGTCTCTTTCTTTCTGACGGTGCTGGATGTTTGCTGGGTTGAAGGCCGACGACAGCGAGAGATTCAAGACGATGGTGCAGTTTGAGTGTCGAGGTCTGGAGCCTGTCGACTTCCAGCCGCAGGTAAGAATCTGTCAATACAGGTTTTACTCCAAGTGAATACGTGTGGCGTTAAAACCACAGCTGGTTGCTTCTGCCTTATCTCTTGCTTGAATTCTGTCGCTAAAGCCAGAAGTCTAGATGGAGTGTGGGTGAATATAAGAAATGCTACTGATGGGAATTTAAAATGAAGCAGAAACAACAAGACTTTCTGGATTTTTGTGCCCTTTCCCCCAAATATTTTAAACTAAATGTCAGATTTGTGATTAAAATAATATGAAGCAAGAATCATTGTAGACACAGCTGACCAACACCTCAGATTCAGGCTCTACATGATTGTCTATTGTGTTCCTGGTACCAGATAACAACATGATGAAGCCTCGCAACTTTTCGTCTTCTTCTCCTCCTCCAGGCCGGCTTCGCTGCAGAAGGAGCAGAATCTGGGACGCAGTTTCCTGAAGTCAACCTACAAGAAAAGGTGAATGCACAAACTTTTCAGAGGTTTTTCTGCAGGACGTCATTCATCTGAGTGAATGATTCCAGTGGTTGTTTTGTTACAGGCTGAGAATGATTGTTAGTAATCGCAGCAGTTACAGGATGCGCTGTTCTGTGTGTGACATTTCAGGACTGGACGGACTACGACGAGAAGGTCAGCGAGTCGGTGGGAATATATGAGGTCACACACCAGTTCATCAAGTGCTGAAGTCGTCGTGTGATGAGCCTCACATGGTGGCGAATGAACACTGCAAACAAACGTGCTCAGGCCCGTTTCCTGAGGATGCTTTGGGCTCTGAGGCGGCGTGGATCGGTTGAGGATGGACATTGAGAGAAGTGGATTAACACAACAAGTCGTCCCAAAACATGTCTCGGATTGATCAAGGCCTTTTTTTTTTTCCATTGCGTCAATAAAATGAAAGAATGTTTGAAAGATTTTGAGTTCAAGTTTTTCTTTTGGCTTTTGCACCATTGTAAGAATTATTTGAAGACTGCAAAACATGCAGTATGAAGTTATTACTTCATAGAAAAGTACTACTGTTTCAGGTGTGGTGGCCCACAGGAGTACTTGTTTATTTGATGAGGAGAATTTAAAAAGTACACGGTGAGATATGCTGGTGTAATGAAAAGGCTGCAGTTTAAAAAGTCAGTCAGGAAATATTCATGCAGCAAATCCTGTGTCTCATTCATACACCAATGGTGACAGAGCTGCCATGCAAGCTGCTGCCTGCCATTGGGAGCAGCTTCAGGTTCAGTGAGAGCTCGCTCCAGGACACCAGCTGAAAGTCATCTCAGCTAATTGCTCAGAAGACCTGCACTGTTCTCCCCGCCTCCGGTCACGTCTGATTGGACCACCACTCCTCCATCCCAGCAAGCACCACACCTGGCTATAAAAGCAACCAGCAACCTTTCAGTTGGGGCTGGCTGGGATTTAATGTGAACACAGACACCGCCCACCCCTCATTATCCCATCACCATTGTTATTGATAAGTCCATTACCTTTTGTAGCTGCCTGCCAGACCCCTCATTCTCTGACCTCTTGTCATTGATTACCAACTACAGACCCCCCTGATCCAACCACCTGTTGATAATTGTTCTCTTACCTCCTGTCATTGATTCGTAAGTATACTAACTAACCACTATTTACCTACCACTTTGACCTGCTATTGGTGCTTCAGGTCTCTAAACACCAGAACATCCTGGCACCGGAGCAGCTTCTCCCCTCATGAACAGTCAGTAAACCGCTAGAGACTCCTGTTGCACTACCTCTGTGTGCATCACCGTTACATGTGCAATATTGTAATTTAAACTGTTTCCTATTGAATACAAATGAGTGTCTGTGATTACTCGTTAACGTCCCACTGATTCACACTTTAGTGGTCGTTTGGATCACCTGGTCCAGCAGCAGCAGCAGCAGCCACACAGTGAGCAGTGGACGGACTGAGTGACATTAAAAGCCTTGAGCTCGACTACAAAAGCATCAACTTTCATCGTTTCATTCACGTTCTGCACTGAAGCAAAACACAACGCTGGTGGGAGAGAATATTACAAGCAGTAAAAAAACACAAACTCAGGTTACAAGGTAAATCAGAATAAAATAAAAATTAATTTACAGAAGGAAGTCTGTCTGTTCGGGGCAGGCCCAGCCCAAGAAGATATCCGGAAAAGTTCAATTCAGCTGGACATGAGATTCCTCTCCTTGTGTCTGAATCCAGCGCTGCAAAGCTTTCCATATGACCTGAATGAATGAATGAATGAATGAATGAATGAATGCCCTTTATTGTCATTATACAGTGTACAACGAGACTAGAGAGCTTCTCCTAATTTTCATTGCAAGCAAAAACAAGATAAAGTGCAAAATTGCTCAGTAAAATATAAAGATAGAAAAGGATAAATATATAAAAAGAAATAAAAGATTTAAAAAATATTGCAAGAGATGATGGATATTTACATGCTGCACATAGTGGAGGAGTCTCATTGATGTAGAGTGGATATTTTATGTGTTTTATTTCACTACTGTTTCCACATTTCTATTTTTATTTTAGTCTTATTTTATTTTATCCTATCTTTTTGCACTGCATTCTTTGCACTAACACAGAGGTGTCCAATCCTGGTCCTGGAGGGCCACAGTCCTGCATGTTTTAGATGTTTTTATCTTCCAACACACCTGATTCAAATGATCAGGATCGTTGTCAGGCTTCTGCAGAGCTTGATGATGCGCTGATCATTTAAATCAGGTGTGTTGGAAGATAGAAACATCTACAACATGCAGGACTGTGGCCCTCGAGGACCAGGATTGGAGACCCCTGCACTAACGCGTTAGCTCTGGATCTGGGATACGCTGTCTCACGGTGTACTCTACAATAAAGCCCTTTGAGTTGAATTGAAATTGTGAGAGTTCATGATGGAAAGAAACCGTTTCTCAGTCTGTTGGAAACTCTTTAATCTGAGACCTGGACTTTTCTCCAACCATTGCCTGTTTCAACAAAATGACTGGGTTGAACAAGGTAAAGCTGGACTTCATTCTCATGATCTCCTCCAGCTGTGCCAGATGCGCTGTAGAGCTGCCGAGTCCCCACAGAGTGAGACATCACGTGACCGAGACGATCTTTGCTGCTGTCAGTCTCTGCTGCTGCTCTCAGTCCGTCCGTCCTTCTGCTTCTCTGAGGACTCTGCTGCTGAAGACAAGCGACCATGGCTGCCAGAAAGACCAACAGGGTGTTTGTCATCGGTGTGGGCATGACGAAGGTGACACTCATTTGTTTTTGTTTTTTTATCGTTTCGACCCGCGACAGAGGGCACGAGCGACCTTAACGTAGCCCGGAGTGGAGGCTAGCATAAGTGGCTAACTCAACACCGCAGAGCTTTAAACGCTTAAAAAGTTCAGCTTTAGTAGTTTGTAGTGTAGTTAGCTTATAGTTGGCAGTGTGAGGGACTGCTGGTGTTAATTTAGCTGATATTAATGCCTTCATAATGTGTCGACAACTGTTTGCCGTGTCACTGATAGGACGTGTTAGCTAGCTAAGTTAGCCCAAACAAAATAAGAATAGCATTATTATATTAGTTGTAGTTTATCGAGCGTCGTTTAGCAATAGGTGGTGAATGCTCGACGAACTTTGAGTCTTCGGCCTGCATGTAGAGTCCATGGTTCATGCTGAACAAACTGTGTCAAGGGTCTCCACTGACACAGGCTGATAACTATTAACTCCAGAGCTGGTTGGCCACTTTAAAGTGTGAACAAATCGTGATTTCACTATAATGCTGCAGATTATAGTGATGAATGTTTGGTTATTCAGGCTTCTGTGTGTTAATCATGCTCATCAAAATGAATAAAACTGTTGTTGTGAGGAATTTGTTGGGTTTCTGTGTCTACAAGTGCCTTGAGATGACATGTTGTGCAATGACACTATAAACTTAGGGATCTGTCGATGACCCGATCGGTATCGGGCCGATATTAGTGTTTTTTCCCCATGTATCTGTCTGATAACCGATAATCGTCTAACACAGGGTCTCCAATCCTGGTCCTCGAGGAACACACCGGATTCAAATGATCAGCTCATGATCAGCTCATCATCAAGCTCTGCAGAAGCCTGATCATTTGAATCAGGTGTGTTGGAAGAGGGAAACACCTAAAACATGCAGGACTGTGGCCCTCCAGGACCAGGATTGGACACCCCCGGTCTAACATCAGCACCTTCGTCTCTATGTTTGATATTGCTATTTCTGGACTTAAATATGTAAGATATGTTTGAATATGGGCTGCAAGGTGGTGGAGGTCGCCGGTTCACATCCGGTGAGGACACCCGGGATCTTTTTGCGTGGAGTCTCCATGTTCTCCCCGTGCAGCGTGGGTTCTCTCCGGATTCTCCGGCTTCCTCCCACAGTCCAGAAACATGTTGAGATTAATTGGTGATTGTAAATTGTCCGTAGGTGTGAGTGTGCTTGGTTGTCTGTCTCTAAGTGTAGCCCTGTGATAGACTGGTTACCTGTCCAGGTGAACCTGTCTTCACCCTGAGTCAGCTGGGATAGACTCCAGCCCCCCATGACCCTAGTGAGGATTAAGGTGTAGAGATGATGGATGTTTGAATATGTTTTGCTTTTGTTACATAATAAAGGAGACTATGTGGTCTAATTTGGGCTTCTGTTGAATAGTTTTCTCGCAGTGCTTATCATTTTTTGGTGTGGACAAAAATTGAGTATCGACATCGGTGATATCTGTTATCAGCGATATCAGAAGTCTTAATATTGTGCGTCACGAGTATAAACTGAACTGAATGTCATGTCATTTCAATAGTGATTCATGATGTGTGCGTCACTGTCTGAGCTGTAAATGTGTTTATTTATAGAAAATACTTCTGTCTCATTTCTTTACCTTCACTTATTGTAGTCATGCTGTTAATCCCAGAAACTCTACTTAATGCTGACATGATATAAGACAAAGCAAACGCTCTTCAAATATTCTTACAGCAAAATATTTAGCTTCATAGCCACAAACGTGTAGATGTTTTCCTTTTAGATGTTCCATCGATGACTGTCAGCTTACATGTTGGATTTAGCTAAAGTGAAAACCTATGAAAGGCTGAATGAAGGTTTTGTTCTAATTTTGTGGGGTTTTTTGTGTATTTTGGTATATTTTTAATTACCAGCAGTATATTCTTTTCATTTGTCCTGCTTCAGTGTATTAACTAGTTGGTCCTAACATGTTTGGTTCTATTATCCAACTCAGTCCTGTGTGTTTTCTTTTGGTATTTATTTCATAGTACTTTTGATTTTATCTGATTTGAAATTTAAGAATGTGTGTCTGTTATACATTTTCCTTTTATAATTTTAACAATTTTATTTATTGGCTCTTTTTTGGGAGAGGATTTTATAGCTTGTACAGGTATCGATCCACATGTTTGCCATCTACTTTGTACATTTTCACCGTATCTTATCCTTGTGTGAAATCTGTTCATGGATCTGTTTTGCAACCACTGAACAATAAATCAATACCCACATCTGTGCAGCGGAAATTACCTTCTGCTGAGCGACTCCACCTGTAGATAAAGTTAGATGTCAGTAAATTCTAACGCAGGTGGTTACTGAAACCATAACTGTTTAAAAGAAAGTCATGAACGTATTTACATACTGATTTTCAGTGGCACCATCTGTCTGACTTTTCTGTGTTCTGGTGCAGTTCGACAAGCCCGGAGCCCGAGACAACTATGACTACCCTGATATGGCCAAAGAAGCAGGTGCTTATCTTTACGGTTTATGGACATTGTTCAGTCACTCAAACAACATATTGTCTGAATATATATGTATCTATGTTATCTAATGTTTTATTGCTGTGTCTTCATCTGACTGTAGGTGAAAAAGCTCTGGCTGATGCAAGAGTCCCGTATTCTGCTATTGAACAAGCTTGTGTAGGATACGTCTACGGTAAGACCTCCAATGAAATGTCATGGTTTTGTATATGAAACAGGAAGCACATTCACTGTATGGTCTCAGAGTGTGAGTTCTGCATGTGCAACAGTTGTGACCCTCTCATGTAGCTGTGAATAGAGAAAGTAAAATAATTGGGTGATCGTATCTCCAATCTGTCCCAGGGGACTCCACATGTGGGCAGAGAGCCATCTACCACAGCCTGGGTCTGACCGGGATCCCCATTATCAACGTCAACAACAACTGCTCCACGGGATCCACGGCTCTCTTCATGGCACGCCAGCTGGTCCAGGGAGGTGGGTCGAGCAGGAGGCCTGACAAACCACAGAAAGCTTTAAATGTTTTAAAAAGGGAGGCTTTTAACAAGATGGTGGTGGTCAAGTCAACTAGTGGCATTTTAATTGGATTCTAATAGTGACAGAGTTTCATAACATTAAAAAAAATCCCTCTTTCAACACTTCTCGTGTCCTTTTGCAGGTCTTGCTGACTGTGTGCTTGCCCTCGGGTTTGAGAAGATGGAGCGGGGCTCCTTGTCCGCTAAGGTATCAGTGTTATTTCGTCCACCTGTTGCGTTGGCGGACTAGTTGTACAGTTGTTGTTGCTGAAGAGAACCAGTAGAGGTCAACACTCATCCTCTTCTCCTGGAAAAACATGCAGATACTCCTCACTGATAAACATTTTAAGTTGCAGCAGACAATCTGTTTGCACCTGTAGCATATATGGAAATGCTAACAGATTGAGTGTTTTGGACTAGCACGTCAGAAGTAGGTGACCTTTGTCTGGAGTACTGGAAACCTTTCTTGGATGCTTCCTCATTGCTGTCACCCTGAAAGCTCACTACAGTTGCTCCCCTCTTTCAGCTCTGTCAGTCCAGTTACTGCTAGTCGATGCAAACTGTATTTCTGCCGGAGCTCCACTGTGGGAAAGATGCCACATTTACCGAGTGCTGATAGGCTTCAACAACATGACGTGAACTTGTTTTGTTTGAAAAGGACGTTCATTTATATGTAGAAGTCCCGCACTAAAACACACTGACGAAACAACCGTGTTTCTAGTTTATGGACAGGACCAATCCAATGGACAAGCACATGGAGGTGATGATGAACCGCTACGGGATGGGGGCGGCACCACCAGCACCACAGATGTTTGGCAACGCTGGCAGGGAGCACATGGAGAAATATGGTGCGTTTGCTGGGTAGAACAATCACACACATGGGCTAACATGGAAGTTGTGGTTGCATCTTCATATTATTAGAAATGTACCGTTTGCATTTCATATAAAATACTTATGTCAATGTTTACTTTTCTTTCAGGCACTAAACCAGAACACTTTGCCAAAATCGCCTGGAAAAATCACAAGCATTCCACCAACAACCCGTAAGACGCACTTAATGCTAGAAAAGAAAGCTTATTTCTTCCAAATCTTGATTTCATTTTTATTCAAAATTGTGTTTGTGTGCACTCTTGCAGGTATTCCCAGTTCCAGGATGAGTACAGTCTGGAGCAGGTGATGAAGTCCAGGAAGGTGTTTGAGTTTCTGACTCTCCTGCAGTGTTGGTAAGAAACTCACAGACACTTGTTGTCTTTTGAAAATTACTGAACATGTCTCGAAAGTGGGCTGCAAGAAGGTCCCTGGGTCGCGTCGCGGTGAGGACACCCGGGATCCTTCTGCGTGGAGTCTACATGTTCTCCCCGTGCAGCGTGGGTTCTCTCAGAGTTCTCCGGCTTCCTCCCACAGTCCAGAAACATGCTGAGGTTACTTGGTGATTGTAAATTGTCCGTAGGTGTGAATGTGAGTGTGCTTGGTTGTCTGTCTCTAAGTGTAGCCCTGTGATAGACTGATGACCTGTCCAGGTGAACCTGCCTTCACCCTGAGTCAGCTGGGATAGGCTCCAGCCTCCCACGACCCTAGTGAGGATTTAGAGGTGTACAGATGATGGATGGATGTCTTGAAAGTGACTTTGCCAGTATTTCTACTTGATACCACTTGTTGACGCAATCATGTCTAATTGTCTTCTGTTATCAGTCCTACATCTGATGGAGCTGGAGCAGCAGTTTTGGCCAGCGAGGGCTTTGTCAGGAAACACCACCTCGAGAACCAAGCGGTGGAGATCGTGGCCCAGGAGATGGTGACCGACCTCGCCTCCACATTTGATGAAAACAGCTGCATCAAGATGGTAAGCAGTGTGAAATGCTTTCTCTGAAAATTCATAGCGCTTACACCTGTCGTAAGACACGGACAGATGGGAATCAAGTCTTTTTTTTCTGTCTAGGTGGGATACGACATGTCTCGGGTGGCGGCTAAAAAGTGTTTTGAGACAGCGGGTCTGAAGCCAAGTGACGTTAACGTGGTCGAGCTGCACGACTGCTTCTCTGCCAATGAGCTCATCACGTATGAAGCCTTGGGGTTGTGTGCAGAGGGTAAGACTGAATTGTTTAAACCTTAGTTTATTCTATTCTACCGTCCTTCCTTTACCTTAATAGACATTTCTACCTTTAGTTAGACATTCATATACTCACACATTCTGGAAAATAGGGAGATGTGAAAATGAGTGTGGACTAGAAATGTTTTTTTTGTCATTTTTGGGGCCTCCTTTGTCAGTGAATGTTGAATCTGCCAAAATTCAGATCAGTGTTTCCCCTGAATGGAGCTAACTCTGGCACAGCACAAAGGATCCTGAGTTGACAGTGTGTGATGCAGAACATTTGGATTCGGGATGTGTTATTGGTGGACTTAACAATTAAACAGTGCTACCGTCAATAGCTGGCACCAGACATACCAGTGATGTGTGCTCATATTTTAATGATGTACCACACTGGTTGTTGCATCTGAGGTGTTTCATAGCTGTCTGCTGTTGGCTGAAGTTGCAGCTGTCCTCTCTCCACAGATGCTGGTGGAAGTGGGACGGATGATGTAACAGTGCAGTTTGGCAGGTTTTGATTTGGAAAAATAAAAAGGATGTGTTGGTTGCATCGGAATAAACGGGTGTAGAACTGCTCGACTGGGGCAATGTGAACAGCATTTAAAACACTTTAGTTTAGTTAGAGCATTAGTTTTTGGACCATGCAATTCAGTTGTGCTCATTTTTGACTGTTTTTCTTGAGTGTTAGTTTCAGAGCAGTGAACAAGCCTGGATTGTTGTTGAGAGCTTCACTAACATGGGTGTGATTTGCTCTTTCTTTGAAACTTTGCAGGTAATTTCCTGCAGGTTTATGATTGTATTATGAGGGTATATGTGTGTGGGGGGGTGCATAATTATTAAATGAATCAGGAATAACATTCTTGAGTCCCCAGTTTCTGTTGAAGCTCTGATTTTTCACAAATCTCTCATTGGTTGATCACCTCTGTTGTGCGGCAGACATGTTACATCTACACAGAAATACTCGAACAAGCTCATTGATTGCTGATTGAACAGGTTTAAAAATTTGTTCTGGCTTCGATTAGGCTAATTGTTGTTTTTTGGATTCATGTAATTGGACTGATATTCATGTTCTGCTTTTACTTGCTGTATTTATTCTATCTTAACTGTATTTTTCCCTGTTTGTGTCTGCTTGTGTTGGCTGCAGCGTGGGTGAAAAGACAAACTTCCCACGCCCGGGACCATAAAGCTAATCTTGAACTTCACTCTGTGCTGTTCCTGCAGGTAAAGCTGGGGAGCTGGTCGACAGAGGCGACAACACGTACGGAGGCAAGTATGTGGTCAACCCCAGCGGTGGTCTCATCTCTAAAGGACATCCTCTCGGCGCCACAGGTAAACAGAACCTCTTGCTGTCGGTGAAAATGCCAGAACAGAGCAGTTTGCTGTGAATGTTTGTGGCGACGGGTGCTGTGGAGCCTCTTATCCAGAAAGCTGGTTGAGCAGCGTGAACTGTGAGCAAACTTCTGTTCCCAGAACAGCAGAAAACAGTACTTTTAATCAACTCTGACTATGTTGACTCAGAGTTGTTGTTCTTCATTAAACAGACTTCAATTCCCTTAATTGATGAAGCGCTGGAATCTGTGCGTTGCTGTAACCTGACGTAAACAAAACACAGGTGGCAGCAACAAGAATCCAGATCAACTGGATAAGACGGTTTTATTTATAGACCTGTGATTGCAACAGCCTTGTCTGACCCAGTGATAATGATTGTGGTGATTTACAGTTGAGAAAGCATCTGAGCTACGGGCTATTTAATCCTGATGTAAATATAAACACAGCAACTGAATACAGCCTATGTATAAAACCTCAGCTGTATTAATGTACACTAACTTACTGTAACTTCTTCACCATGACTTTTAAATCAGTCACTCCAGTTTGTAGAGTCCTAATCTTAATGTTTGAACTTGTTGGGTGCATTTTTAACATCGGTCTTATTTCTCTGTTGGAAAAGCTTCAGGTGAACGTCGGTTGCTCCATAAATAGCAGCGACCTTACTAAAGTGTAGTAAATGTTTCTCTGTAGGGCCACTGATTGACAGCCTGTTGTCTTAATGTCAGTCATTAGTTTTTCTGGAAGAGAAACTCAGGGTTTGTTGAGGAAAATGTAGCATCAGATGCATTAGACTCACACCACAAAGTTAGTGATCACAGGATGAATAGACTCAGGAGTTTTCATTACCCCACTTTCTGCCAGACAGTTGTCCACAGCGGCCACTAGGTGGCGTGCGTCTCTCAGCGATGGCCAGCTGGGTAGCAACTGGGCAATGGTGATCCTAAGCCTGCATGTGAGGGGGCAGCCGGCTGTGACTTTGGCAGGCCTCCCCTGTAATCTGTCCACATTTTAAACCGTTGAGGGACGAGCCTGAGCAAACGGTGCAGCTGGCTCACTGGTCTCTGCAGGAGAAGGCCTCAGATTGTTCACACACATGCAGACTCCATGTTAATGGTCACATGTGCTTGTGGACTCCCACATGCAGACACATCCACTAATGAGCGATAACGAGGTGAAACAGTGCCGTGCTCCTTCATTTCATACAGACAGCTTTATTTTTAAACTTCTTTTAGCTGTTGTCTTTGTTTTTCTCTTCCTGTGCCTTCTGGCTACCTGTCTTTCTTTATACCTGCCAACCTTGCTTCACCTTTATCGTTTAAAATTTTCTCGACAACTTTCTCCTTCTGTGTCGTCGGCGCTCCCTGTGCCGTGCTCCCAGTGTACGAGTGCCCCACTGGGTCATTCTCCCACTGTGTGACTGCCCTAGTCAGCTAAGCTCCGTCTGATCCGTGGTGTTGCTCCTAATCTTGCTTGTAAAGCTCTGACCTCTTCCCCCAGGAACACTGTGAGCACAGATATTGATAGGTAATTGCCCGAGCCATGGAGGAACAACCACCACCTCGACTCAAAGCGCTGCTGCTAGAAGACGAAAACACACCAAACACATCACTCCAATTCTTACATCCTTGCACTAATTTCCAGTTAAATCTAGACTGAAATGTTTATCGTCTAGAAGTCCCACAACTTTCTGAGGTCTGTTTGCTGATTAAAAGCGTGATAGGTCGATCAGATCTGCAGGGACTGGTCGGCTAGTGGTGCCCAGTCTTCAAAGCAAACGTGGTGAAATGGGTTTTACCCACTGCTGTTGGAACTGCCCAAACTGCACCCATAAAATGATGCACGGTTCTTTTTTTTCCACTGCTTTTAATTACTTATTCTGTGTATTCTAACTTAAGTGTGTGTATACTTTGTCTTATCTATTTATTGGTCTTTCTTCTGCCTGTAAAGCACTTCAAATAACCTGATACGGTGCTAAATACACATAAATTTGCACTTACACCTCAGGATATTGTGATTTTTACAAGTTAACATGACGTCCAGACATCTTGAGACGTTACTCTTCATTACCCACATGCCTTACACTTCAAAAAAGGAGCGTTTGTGATGTGCTCTCATCAGCGTCCTTCTGAAGGTTCCTTTACACGGTATGTAAATGACACGTCTGAGGAGCTATCTACACGCTGTTCACGTCGACCCTGCCGAACGTTTTTCAGTTGACATCTAGGCACAATTGTAATCGCACAAACAAACCCTCGTGGGATAGGTTAGAAGAGCTGCAGAATGTAGAAGACGCAGACGCAGAGGTCTTTACCCCCTTAAGTCCTTTAGCTTATTGGGATAATGGAGAAATGCACAAGCTCATTACGCAGATGGGATGAAATGCTTAGCTATAACGTTAGCGCAGGAGCTGCCTCTGGCGAGATTAGGCAGTGAGTTGTCAGATTAGGAGTTATCTTGTCACCCCTCTCAATTAAGGAGATGGTGTTGTTGCCCTGCTCTGAAAGGCTTTTCTTAGAAATGAGAATTCGAAGTTTAGGAAGTGTTTACTGCAACTTTTCTCCTGATTTCTGTTTTTAAAGTTGCAGCAACAAGATATAACTGTGAACGAAGTTGTTGGAAACTGCTTTCGGCATTAGCTAAATAACTTTCCATCTACACTACCCCATATTATTTTTAATTTTTTTTGTAGGGTTCGGGTTAGATCTCCGACAATAAAGGTGCAGCCTGTTTCAACTTCTTCCTGAATGAAGTGAAAAGTTGTAAAACCCAGTCTCATAGTTTTACAAATCAATATGTAATGTTCTAGTGTCAAAGAAAACCTTCAGTTTTGTTGCTGAAAGAGACCGACTGGATTGTATGTCATCGTTTAATTAACACACGTCTACCAGCCTGCTGATAGCGACAGTAAAGAGAGCAGCAAAATCTGTGTTGATAAATTTCTGTAGTGCCATGGGGTGTGTCATCATATCCACAAATCTGTATTAAAATTGTGCCTTTATTCAAAGCTACAGGCTCTTCAGCGACACTTTGCACCGACAAAAAAGCAAAACAGAAGCTCTTTAACGATTAGAGGGCGTGTTTTGAATATTAAGCGTACCTGTATGTCTGGTCTCTGGTCGCACAAAACGTATGAAGAAGTGCAAAACTAGTTACATTTTGGTAAAACTCGAAGGGAAATGGATTAGCGCAAAAGTCAAGCACACATTAGTCCATTTATATATCAAAATAACTTTATTATTGTGACTAAATGATTAAAAACAGAGACCAAAATGTATCGGCGTCCTCTGGGTCAAAAAGTCCTGCACATCCAGCGACATACATTTGGTGCCGTCGTCGTGGTCACACCTCCCTGATAACATCTAAACCAGGGATCTCCAACTCTGGTCCTCGTGAGCTGCTGTTCTGCAGGTTGTAGACGTTACTGCAACACACCTGACTCAAGCTAACGGATCATTAACAGACTTGTGTAGAACTTGACGACAAGCTGTTGGAGATCCATTAGTGTGAGTCAGGTGTGTTGCAGTTGAAAACGTCTAGAACCTGCAGGACAGCAGCTCACGAGCACCGGCGTTGGAGATCCCTGGTCTGAACACTCCATGCTATCGGTGTTCATTGGTGCAACCCAGTGGAACACTTCCTCCTCTGTGATTTTTAAAAAAAATAAAGGATTATCCTGGTGGCCCAAGGTGCATCTGTAGCACAGTGCTTATAAAATATCCTAAACTCAAGCGCCTCTGTCCAGCATTTTCCCATCATGTTCCATTTACAGAAGACTGTGGGGTTTAGTTAGGAAGTGATCTTGGTATATTTCATCAGACGTCCAGAAACACTGAGGTTTTTTTTTTTTTTTAACAATTTCATCATATCAGCTTAGAAACAAACATGTCGGTGTTTTACCGCTTCTCCCAAGTTGCTCAAAAAAACCAGTAAATGCAAGTTTAATTTATATTTCTTTAAAAAGCATTACATCTTGTGAAACTGACTTGTTCGGTGCAATGAGTGCACTTTCAGACAAACACCGCCTCTAATGCATCTTGCCTCCTTTATAAAGCTGTACCTTTCAAGGCTGTTTGTACAAAATGTCTTTTTCTTTTTTGTTCTCTCTCCACCAACTTAATGGCAGCTTATAAAAGTAGACCCTAATTGTAATGACAGCTCTCCTGCTTTGCTCTCATGTTCTTCACTGGTTCCAGCTTTTGTAGTTTATTTTTTTGTGTGCGTTTCAGTTTTTAAAGTCTGATTTTCCTCCCCCTCCCTCCCCCACACACATCCAGCTGAACCACATCGCCGGTGACCCACTCTGCCCTCACCCTCTGTCCGTCTCCCTGCTTATGCTCTCACAGGTCTGGCCCAGTGCGCTGAGCTCTGCTGGCAGCTCCGAGGCCAGGCTGGCAGGAGGCAGGTCCCAGGGGCTAAAGTGGCCCTGCAGCACAACATTGGCTTAGGAGGAGCTGTGGTTGTCACACTTTACAAGATGGGTTTCCCGCAGGAGGCAAGGTGACCAGGAAGTTACTGCTGATTTGTTGTTTTGGTGGTTTGTGCAGCATCGTAATAAGAAATCTGAGAAATAAGGTCTTTATGTTTTGCTAACATCCATATTGTGTCCTATGTTATCCCATTTTCTGTTTTAATTTTGCTTTATCCACTGCAGATGTAGATTGAAACAAACCCTTTTCTGACTCGTGCTGCCGTCCGTTTATCTGACTATGTCTCAACTGATCGGCTTCGCGTCTTGTTTTGTAAAAGTTGTGGCATCAATCTTACCAGATCATAATCAGTGGACCTGCAAAATAAGTCTGAAGTGTACGAGCAGCACATCTTGAGTAGTGATTCGTGGAAGTTTTTCTGCTCCAATATTGATCCGAAGACAGTTTGCATGTCAAAATCAACAAACTTATTTCTCATTCGCTTCACAAACCACATTAATGAAGGCATCAGTGTTGCATACTGTCTTTTTTTTTTTTAAACATGTGCTTTGCTTCTGTGTTTTCTCTTCTGCCTCCCACAGGTCCCACATAAGTGCAGCTCTTACCAGTGCAGGCAGCAGTCTGGAAGGGTTCAAAGCTTATCCTGTCTTCAAAGAGATTGAAAAACAGCTACAGCAGGTAATAACGACGCGCTGTCAGTAATAGAAATCCACCTCGTGCTTTTAAACTAGTTTCTGTTTGATCCTATGGAATCGATTCAGGTAGAGGACACGCGTACATTTCACTTTTTTGCCACTTTAGCTTACTGATACTACTGTAAATGGAAGCATGAGCCTCTAAAATGGGCCTAAATTAAATAATTGAAGTGGTGCTACAGTGTTTACAGACCATCGGAAATATCAGGGACTCACTGGCATATTAAGGTTATAGCCAAAAAACAGCAATATAGACTCAATTGTAAAGCACATGTGAACAAATGCAGCACATACGATGGCCAGCTCTAAAATAAATCCTATGTAATTAGATGCCCTGTGTGTCCACTGCAATTACTTGTGCCATGACGTCAGTCAGAAAGCACTTGAACTCTGTCTTTAAAGCTAATAATTATGCTCTGATGCATCAGGGAAATGTTGTTTATGTGCATTAAGCCCCTTTTATACTTGAACTTCTTTCCTATAATCTGTCAGCACCTGAACGTGTCGGCTTCATTAGTGAGGACCCCGGGTGCTTTTCCTGTAAAAGCTGCGTCAGGAATCGTGTCACTAGTAATGCAGCACAAGTATAAACTGCCTGCTGCTGCATCAATGCACAAGATCGCAACAGACTTTAAATCACAATTTGGGGAAGGTTGTTTCCACGTTTCAGCATCAGCGTAGCGCAAAAGAGACCTCCTCGTTCATTTTGCATTTCAATTCCACGTCTACTACAAACTGAAATGTCCATAAAACTTTATTGTGACGATGACAGACAAGTCAGATAGACGGCTCTCACCAAAGTGAAGAGTGAACCCATGGCACAAAGCAGTAACCTCATGAATCATTTAAAATGTCTAGCCGTCTCCGTTAGATTGACAGTTTGTAAAAATGCTTGATGCTGGAACGCTCGTTTGTTAATAATTGTTCATAGTTTTTATAATAACAAGTAGGACTGGTCCCAATAGAACTTCCTGGTCTCTGGATGTTCAGGCCCAATTCATGATGTATATTCGGCGTGGTCGGGGGACACTTCCACCCCGGGGGAGCGCTCCGACGGGGTGGAAGTGTCCAGAACGCACAGGCAGTACTTGGCTGCTGATGCTACTTTAGTTAGCGCTCACACTTCTGTTTCTACCATTGGTGGCGGCGGGGGAGTGGCAGATACGCTCCATCGTTACCATCCATTTCTACTTCCATAAACACTGAGCACGCTTGCTGCGTGTGATGTCGTCGTGTCCTCTTCTGCGCATGTGGGACACTTTTGGGTCGTATGAAGTTCACACAGCAGATCACATACAAGTCGCATTGAACTGGTAACGTGAACGAACTCGCAAAAAATCCGAATTGATCAAGGCGCTGGTATGTGATGGCTGTTTTTCATAGGTTCCGTTTTTTCCTAAAAACCTGTCGGATAGCAAGGTTTAGGATTGTTTAGGGTCGGATTATCGAGTCACGACTGTATATGCATCTCTGTAGTAGAACTAACATTAGCTTGTGCAGTTACGTATCGATACAGATACATACACAGTATATATAGTCAGTTATAACCATAAACTGACAACGTAGCCGTCTCTTAAATGACTCACACTTCCATAGTTTCAGTCAGCTATAGTAAACTCTTGCATGTTGTTCTACATTTCAGTCCATAAGCAGTACAGTTCATTTTGGCCGAGGAGACTTTTCTGAGTCTGAGCCACAAATCTTTGGTTTAAGTGATTCATGCCAGACCGTTAACATGCAACAGAATGTAATTCACAACGTGTGGGCAGCTGCTGCCCGTCTACGACCTGTTGCATGGAAATGAAAACCCCTGTCGCCTCGTTACAGGACGGAGAGAATCTCGTCAAGAAGGTCGGTGGAGTGTTTGCTTTCAAAGTGAAGGACGGCCCAGATGGGAGAGAGGAGACCTGGGTGGTGGACGTGAAAAATGGCAAAGGTTCTGTCAGCAACGACCCAGGTACGTATCCGAACGGAGGTATCCAACACACCGGTCGTCATCGGAGCATAATTATTTAGTGTTTTGCTGGCAGTGGTGTGGTTTTAAACTGTCTTTATTCTGTTTCTTGCTCTATGGATGATGAGTTCTGTTCAGTCTCTACTTGCTGCTGAGCTTCAGGTTTCTCAGATGTGCTGCTTTAATTCTCAGGAAGAAGTCTGCCTGTCAGACTGACATGTGACAGCATGTAGTTCCTGGACAATAAGACTTATGTCTCACCTATTTTCACACGACAGCATCTCCCTTTTGTCACTTCTGCGTTTATTACAGAGTTTCACGTGGCTTTTGTTTCCTGAACAGACTGCACATCATTTTCTTCTCTGATTCTTGTCTTTAGTCTTTATTGTGGAAGCACAGCATGTTCAGAACAGACTGTACAAACTACAGCTGAGCAACTTTTTGTTGGAAGCTTCTGAGGGAAACGTGTTCAGTCCTCCCAGAGAGAGTAAAGTAGAATGACCACCTTGTGTTTATTGTTCATAATCATGCTGGTCCAGGCTCATGGAAGATATGGAGTGAAGGAGTTTAATCTAAGGTGTTTTTGGCCAAATGTAGGCATTACTATAGTGACATGCAGTGTGTGATTCCAGTGAATGTCTAGTGAGGAAATGTTGTCTTGGCTTAGAGGCTGTTACAGAGGACTGACAGTCATCTGACTCTCAATATTAGAAAAGCAGTGAGCTTGTGGTGGAATATTTGAGGAACTGAAGAGATTGGCGGTATGAGGTTGTTTTAATCTTTTTTTTTTTTGGTAGAAGCTGTTTTTACCTTGACATGTTTGTACTGGGGCTGGAAGGTGGCTCGGTGGCGAGCACCATCACCTCGCAGCTAGAAGGTCGCTTTTTGGCGTGAGGACACCCGGGATCTTTCTGCGTGGAGTCTCCATGTTCTCCCCGTGCAGCGTGGGTTCTCTCCGGGTTCTCTGGCTTCCTCCCACAGTTCAGAAACATGCTGAGGTTAATTGGTGATTGTAAATTGTCCGTAGGTGTGAATGTGAGTGTGCTTGGTTGTCTGTCTCTAAGTGTAGCCCTGTGATTGACTGGTTACCTGTCCAGGTGAACCTGCCTTCACCCTGAGTCAGCTGGGATAGACTCCAGTCCCTAGTGAGGACTAAGGTGCATAGATAATGGATGGATGGATTCTTAACTAACACCCAAAAAGACCACCAAAATCTAATCCGTTCATCTTTGATTCCAAATGAATGTTTGCACTAAATTGAACAAATTCCCCTTGAAGCTGTTCCTGAAACATTCCTTTCTCGGGAATGAGAAGGATGCATCAGGTCTGGTGACAGGATAAGGAGTGAGGAGGAGTTCTGGCAATACAACTGAACGAGCTGTGTTCTGGCTTCAGATGTTGGCGTGGGCTGTCTTTGGTTGTCCACAATCTGGAGCAACTTTAAAAAAGCAATTTCCCCGCTGGGATTAAAGTGACAGCCGAAGATTTTCATTTTCGATAAAGGTCTGTTAAGTCGCTATCTGCTGACAAAAGATGTCGCACGTTGGCGATCGGGCCGCTGATGAAGTAACACGCTATACGTTTATAAACGAGGTGTCCGTGGTGACATTCCGGAGCGAGATCACGATCGGCATGCAGTCACTGAGGCTTGTTTCCTCTGGCCGGCGGTTATCTTTCTCCCAGAGAGACGCCACGGGCTCGCTCTTAAACCCACCTGCTAGTGAGGCGGCGTGCTGTTTCCTTCATCTCAGATGTCATTATTCCCTTTTTTTAACTTTCATGTGTGCTGACCAGCTGACCACCAAAGAACCAAACGTGGATCTTTGATGTTGTGATTCCACTGGTGCGGTTCTAGTTAACTCAAGCAAAAGTGAAGAAATCTTTAACATTTTCTAGCAATTACATTTTTTTTTCTCCATGGATTTGAGATGTGCTGGACATCAAAACTAACTTTGGTGGAAGAAACATGCTCACAAAGCCTCTTCTGATCCACATGATTCCTTAAAAAAAGAGCAGAAGTCTAACTAAATGCCTTCATCTACTGGTTGCATCTGCTGCCTGTAAATCACTACCTTCTATGTGACTGGATCTCTGATGATGTTTGCTGCATCTGAGCTAATATTCCTGAAACACTGCCTGATTTAATGTTCCACAAATGGACAGAAATGTTCAGGATGCCCTGTGCAACAGTAGAAAAATAGATTGTTCTGTTGCTCTGAGTGCTCGAGCATCATGTTCTTGTTAATTTCAGTACAAACGAGGGTTTTCCAGCTGCAGCCTGACTGTTGAGCTGATGGTAGCCGGTCTTAGCAGAGTTGTCGCTTACGGCCTTAATTACCGTGTTTTTGTTTAGCGTGCATTTCAGTCCTTCCATCACAGGCGTGAAACACCGAGCAAACGGACTGAACCTTCTCACTCAGCTCTAATGATGCTGCCTGAATGAAAAGTCCCGTGAAAATGCCAAGTGCCGTCCGTTAAAAGCTCTAATAACGGCCGCTATGATTTGCCATTTAGATGCCATTTCCTTTAACAGAAAACATCCGACACGTATGAGATTTTTTTTTTTCCTTGTTTGAGAGAAGCTGTCTGTTGTGTTATGTGGAGTTTTAGTCGTGATGCTGTTATTAAATCAGTCTATATTTGATGTTTTGTCACAGGTAAAAAGGCAGACTGCACATTATCCATGAGTGACCAGGATCTCCTGGATCTGATGACGGGGAAGCTGAACCCACAAACGGTACGTGTAAGAATGATGCAGATGGATGCAGTTGCAGTCGGGACTCGATAATCGGACGCTTGACAACCCGACAGCCTTGCTGTCCGACATAAAATAAGGTTTTACATTTAGTGTCGGATTATCGAGTCACAACTCGGTCTCGTTCTTTCATTCACAGCACAGTTAGAATTCTAGTTTTCACACCAGGCCAAGATTCTGGAAAATATACGAGTCAGCTTTGTTTGAAGTACAACGGATTCCCTGAATATCTGCCTGGACACATGAACTGCAGCGGACAAAGCTGCTCTCTGGTTTTTGGGGCAGCCGACCCATCTGTCGTAGAGATGTGCTCGTTTTCAGTGAGGGATGTGTGTCGTCTGTATATGGGTTAATACACGTCTGTCCGCCTCATGACTGCTTGAACCCAGTCGCGCTGTATCGAGGTGTCATTTAGGGGAATTCTTCGAGCAACAGGGAACCTAAATTTCTAAACTGTAATCCAGGGGTTGATAAAACATGTAGTGTGTTGGTCCCGGCTGTTTGTAGGAGTCCTTCCTCAGAGCTTATTAAATACCTACAGCATCACTTCTAATTACAAGTGATTAAATGTCAGCTTAGCTTACACTGTTTTGTTCACATCAGTCAGTCATAAGCAGCAGCTGATTCGTTTGTGGCATCAGATATTTTTAATTTATTGTTGGTAAAGCAGCAGTTAGATTATCACGACACATGAACGTCATTGTTTAACTCGGCTGTTAATTATTTGGACACTAAAGAATATTTCCGGTATTAGAGAGCAAATAAGTTAACAAGTGGTTAAGGGTCAAACTTTTTAGGGTTTTAGTGACGATTGAGCTCTGCTTCAGGCTTTAAAGCTGCGTCTTTCAGTGATTAAATCGTTGTTTAAAAGTGGTATTTACTGATTTTAATCTTCACTCCTGTCGCATCAGGCCTTCTTCAAAGGGAAGCTGAAGATCACCGGGAACATGGGCATGGCCATGAAGCTGGAGAAGCTCCAGGTCAAAGCAGGGAAGGCCAAGCTGTGAGACCTCCTGCTGAGCCTCTTGTTCGGCTCAAGCTTCCTCTTGTTGAAATTTCACTAATTAACAAGATCCCTGAATACTCTGATAATGTGCTTGATCTCCAGGGACAGTCGATTAAGTTTCATTTCCAGCTGCTACCGAGATACTAACCTGTAGATGTTGTGGAGTGCACATGAAATGAATGAAATTAAAAATACTTTATTTATCCCAGAAGGGAAATTCAATATTTCTAATAACATTTCAGTAACATCCTCCTCCATGTATTAACAACCATGTGTTCAGAGAACTCAACGTGCCTCCAGTTTGTCTGACATAAAGCCTGTGGGTTAAAACACTTTTTTGAAGTGAACCATTTTGATAATGTTAAAGAGAATCTATACCTGTAAATGAAAGCAATCTAATTTTCTAAAATAAAATCTTTACTGACAATCACAACGTCTGGAGTTTTTCTGTCTTCCAGGTTGAGCCTCAGCAATATGCTTTACTGTATTTAACTTTTACCATTTTCAAACTGGTGGATGATTCTAATGATGCTGATCTTTTTAAGAGGAGCACAAAACTGACAAGTCACAAAAATGTCCACAATTTAAAACCAGCACAGTGTAAAATAAAAAATATTCCTGAAAGCAAATTCAAACTAAAATAAACTCAGAAGGCTTTCCAGTATCAGTCTGATCAATCCAGAGCTTCGACTTTAAAAGCTCCGCCCAGTTTTCAGCTGAATCCCTGGAAACGACAAAAGACGTCCGTCGGAGGATCTGAGTGGTGCCCACGGTACTTAACGTAGAAGCTACGACAGCAGTACTCGCATTTGTTTTGGATAAAAGACAAATTTTAGTCCAATTTTACAGAAATTGTCCCTAGAATAGGGATCTGAAGTACTTTTCAAAATGGTTTAGTTTGGTTTAGTGAGTGCCAAATTACAAAAATAAATCAAAAGTGGAAATAAAAATAAAAAATAAAATAAGAAATGTGGCAATACAAAGCAATATTAATCAAAAATGAATCCCAAAAAGAAAAGGCTAATCAAAGTTTAAAATTGTATTTTTAAAACTTTTTTTTTTTTAGACTGCTGCTTTAAAAGCAAAGGAAATATGTACAGAAAAACGACAATCCTACTGCGCACGTTTTTCTGTGCATATTTCCTTTGCTTTTAGGTGACAAAATACAGAAGAAAAAAAGAAAAAAAAATTAAAAAATGTAAATGAATAAAGAAAAAACTTTAAAATATTTTTTAAAAGTATTTTTAATTTCTTTGTCTTTTGGCTTTTATCAGCCTTTTCTTTTATGGAATCATTTTTGTGTAATACTTCTTTATATATTTTAAAAAATATATTTATTCTTTTTATTTCCACTTTTATTTTATTGATTTATTTTTTGTAATTTGGCACTCTCACTACTCCATAGTTTAGTTTGAGTAAGATACTGAGAAAATATTACAGCTCCTAATGAGTTAATTTTACTTTTTACTACATATTCAAAGCAGTCGTGTCATCATACTTCTTTATAAATTAATAAAAACCTGCTGTGTGTTCACTTGTGTCCCTTTTCAAGATATAAAAAAAGAAAAAACTAAAAACTAACTGATTGTTCACATTTGAAAGACTACGCTAAAAAAAAAAAAAAGTTTGCAAATTTGCCTGCAGTAACTCTGACCATCATGTTGTCCAATAACACATACAGTCGTCCTCAAATGTATTCATCCCCTTCCATTAAAGAAAAGCCAGAACTCACAACAAACACTCAAATAACTAGAAAACGAAAAAAAGTAATAATAAATAAAAATTTGATAAATTATATTTTAGTGAAATAAGACGTTGCCTTTGGATTGTGTTTGAAAAAAAAATCTAAAATCAAATCATGCTTTTTTAAAAAAAAAAAAAAAAGTAGATATTTCAGTTGAACCACAATTCAAAAGCAACATCATGATTTTCACAAAGTTTTAATTTATTATTTTGTCAATTTCACCCTTTTTCAGTGGTTTTTTCTCTTCTTTAATTGGAGGGTACCAACACATCTGAGGACGACTGAACTCTGTCGGTTTGAACTCAAGCAGGGATTTCACTCATCTCTGTTTTTTTTTCTCCTGCCTTTGTGTCCTATTTCCCTCCATTTTCCCTCCATTTGTCCGTTTATCTGGGCCTTGATGCCTTCTCCCTGTTGGCCTCCCCCACCTCCGCCCACCACCGAGCGCCTTCTGCCGCTTCCAGTCTGCGCTCCTAATTGCTCGTATCCGGCCCGCTTGCCTCAGCCCGCTCCCCGGCCTGTCCCTCTGCCAGGTGGCCCGGTGGTGGGCCAAATAATGGCTCGCCCCACTGACCAGCAGCAGCGGACTGGTGGCTCTTTAGGAGATGCGCTGTAACCGGGGTGGGCTGAGGTGAAGCACGGCGGTGTTAGATGAGGATTTTCTGGCTCTGGTTTGCCTCGGGTCAACTCCAGAAGCTCAGCCTGCGCTCGATTAAACGACCTTAGCTGGAAAGTTTTGGGAGAGTGTATATTGGATAGACTGTGTTAGCATTTGAGTGAGACCCTGTCAGTTCTGCACAGCTCTGGTGTTCGTTTCTCTGCTCGCTTACTGCTACCAACGTGCTTTTTGAACTGAAGGGGAAATTCAATAAACTTAAGAGGCCGTGTCACGCTGCTTCAGGATGCCAAAGTGCGGGACCACAGACGACGAAGAGTATCATCTATTAAACGGAGACCATGCAGGCTTGTAAGTGGCAATTACAAGCTTGTACATTTCCCTTTTGGTTTGGTTAGACTTTCTTGAATCAGCTGCTTCGAAACCAGCAGCAGCAGCGGCTGTGCAAGTACAATTATTCAGCTTCTAGTGACGGACTGTCTTCACACCTGCACGCTGTCTGAGCTTTCAGGGCAGAGATGTTCATGGCTGAGAGTTGAGGATGAGCTGAAGCTGCAGGCAAGGTGCAGGACGCTCTTCCATCTATAAAGCATTCCTCTGGGCTCTTTGCTGTGACCTTTGAGCCCGTTTGCAAAGAGAGAAGAGTTTTATTGTTTTGTGTTGCAGTTTTTCTAGCAGAGTGACTGAGAGTGAGTGGGATGTGATGTGTGATGACTTCTATTGAAGGGTTTACTAGTGATGGTTATAATGTGAGTGCATTAGATAAAAGCCAACGTAGGCGACTGGTCCTTCCAGGTCAAGGAGCCACCAAACCCCCTGAGTGCAACGAGCTGAAATGACCTCGAGAACACAAATAAGGTGGAGCTTAAATCATACTAAGATGTGCATTTAAAGAAATCCATAGAAAAACAATAAATACCAGCAATTTTGGTGGATTACAATTAGAGATGCATAATATATCCGCCAATATTAGTGTTTTGTCCCATATATCGTATCGGTCTGATGAACACATTTAGCCGATGATTGTCTGACATCAGCGCCTTCGTCTCTACGTTTGATATCGCTGCTATTTCACAGATGTTTTTACTTAAATGGTCCTGGACTTAAATATGTTTAAATATGTTTTACTTTTGTTAACAAAGGAGACTATGTGGTCTGATCTGGGCTTCTTTTCAATCTCACAGTGTTTACTTATACTCATTTTTCGGTGTGAACAAAAATTGAATATCGACATCGGTGATATCGGTTATCGTGATATCAGAAATCTTAATATCGGATATCAGTATCGACCAGACATTGTAATATCGTGTATCACTAATTATAAAACAATAAAAGTGTAATTTTGTGATCACACTGTAAATAAACAAATTGCGTTTTGTAAAAATACAAATTTTTGACGTTATTTACAGTTTTTCATTTTTTCCAGGCAACATGTAAATTGATAAACGTTTTCTTCGATTCTACTCGATATTATCTGTAGTTAATTTGTAAAATAACAGGTGAAAATTAATTTTCCATTTTTCAGTCTTAAATATAGATATTTTTCTTTCAAATAATGCTGAATATCTGTAACTATTTTTTGTTGATTTAAATAAAAAAGTAAATTAAAAAAAGGTGCATATTTACACTAAAACATTGTAAAAGGGCAAGTTGCCGTATTCTGTGGTTTTAGTCGTTATGTATGGAGTAGTGAGTGAAAAGGATAATAAAAATAGAAATATGAAAACAAATAAATCAAATGATAAAAATAATCATTTATTTTTTTGAATATATATGTATTTTTTAATGTATTTTTTTTTAAAAATTCATTTATTTATTGTTTTTTCACTTTCATTTTTATTTATTTATTTTTAAAAATGTATTTTAATTGTAACCTTTTGTATTAATTAATTAATTATTTTTATTTTGAATTTTTTGAATTTTAATTTTTGGATTTATTTATAGGGCTGCAGGGTGGCGCAGTTGGTAGCACTGTTGCCTCGCAGCGAGAAGGTTGCAGTTTCTGCGTGGAGTTTGCATGTTCTCCCCGTGCAGCGTGGGTTCTCTCCGGGTTCTCCGGCTTCCTCCCACACAGTCCACAAACATGCTGAGGTTAATTGGTGATTCTAAATTGTCCGTAGGTGTGAATGTGAGTGTGCTTGGTTGTCTGTCTCTAAGTGTAGTCCTGTGATAGACTGGTGACCTGTCCAGGGTGTCCACTGCCTAAGTCGGCTGGGATAGGCTCCAGCCCCCCGCGACCCTAATGAGGATTAAGCGGTGTATAGATAATGGATGGAATTTATTTATATTTTTCTTGATTTTTTTTGTAATGTCCTTTAAAAGCAAAGTAAATATGCACAACCACATTCCTACTGCACTCATTTTTCTGCGCGTATTTCCTTTGCATAGTTATTATGTGTAAAAACAGAAAACAAAAACTTTATTGATTGTAAAAATGTGTTAAAACTAACAGAAATACGTTCACCTTAAAGGCCAGGATATGACAGAACACACAGGGAGGACGTTTCAGCTTTTCTTTCACCAAGATTAATGACAGAAATCTGTTACCATGGCAACCCTGCTGCAGCTTTATGTAATAATAATAATATTAATGTTTTTTAAAAATTTTTTTTTATTGTTTAATGAGATAAATGGCCATGATGTGTAAATTAATATGCACCCCTCTGCTTATTAGAAGCCACACATGTTGGTATGACTGATGTTATAACAGAGGTTTGTTCTGTGTTCTGATAGAGTCCATGTTCTGGTTCTATGCTGCCTCAGTGTCCTGGAGAGACCTACCAGGAACAATCCACCTTTCACTCATGAGTGCAGCAGAATACCTGGAAAGACCTTCACTCATAATTGTGGCCATCTCTTCTGAAGCAGGTGGAGCTCCCCTGGGCTGAACCTCAGCGCTCCAGCTGCTCTCATCACTCGGCCGGCGGTTCCACAGTCGCACACGATTCCTGTAATTTGTTCTCCAGGGTTGCCGTGGTGATGGTGCTCCTCTGGGATTTATCCCCCGGCCTCGGTCCAAGGCTCCAGGTATTTACCTCAAATCAGCAGAGCAGCAAGTGGACTTACATCTTCACCTGAGATCCAAACAGACCGGTTCTGAGGGTCGGTCGGGTTTAGTTTGACGTAACCTGCTGTTATCGGACCGGTGCTGTGTTGGAGCTGTGAGAACTGCTCAGTGTGTGGATCGGTTTATTTAGATTTTTTTAACATTGTGAACGCACATTCAACTAAACTTATTGCAGCCTGTTGCAGGACTGAATGTAGATGATCCGACAGCTGCAAAGTAAACACAAATGAAAGTCCATCCATTATCTATACACCTTAATCCTCACTGGGGTCATGGGGGGCCAATCTATTTTTCCATTTTTGTGAAGCCTCACGATCGGATTTGTCAGCTCCTCTGGCATTCCTTTTCTTGTGATGCACGAATGGCGAAAAACCCCAGCCCAAACTAACAATATTTTGCTCTCGAAGGTAATTTATAACAGAGTTCATGCAGTTAGACAAATTGGAAATCACAGGTTTAATGATCACAAGTAGGGATGAACGATATATCGGCGACCACATCGGTATCGGCCGATATCAGTGTTTTTTTTCCATACATCGGTATCGGTTTTATGAACACATTTAGCCAATGATTGTCTAACATCAGCGCCTTCGTCTCTACGTTTGATATCGCTGCTATTTCACAGATGTTTCTACTTAAATGGTCCTGGATTTAAATATGTTTAAATATGTTTAACTTTTGTTTCTTAATAAAGACTGTGTGGTCTTATCTGGGCTTCTTTTGAATAGTTTTCTCACAGTGTTTATTTATACTCATTTTTCGGTGTGAACAAAAATTGAATATCGACATCGGTGATATCGGTTATCGGCGATATCAGAAGTCTTAATATCGGATATCGGTATTGGCCAGAAATTTTAATATCGTGCATCGCTTGTTTTCTAGCTTGTATGACAGCACTCACAGGTGCATTGGGTTTCTACTTCTGGGCCTCAAAAATACTTGTTTTTGATCATTCATGTGAGAAAATAATCTGTTGCTCAACTGAGAAATATTATGGAGAGGTGATATATTTATTTAATGTTTATATAACGTTTGTTCAGTTTAGGCAAACAGCTGGATTTTCTTGATGAACACTGGTCACATCCGTTTTGAACACCTGGACCTTTATTGCTCCATCTGCAACTGACAAACAACTCAAACAGTGTTTCCATATTTTCCATATATTCGTCTTTTCCATTGTACAGAGTTTGATAAATGCTGGACGACAGTGAAACGTTTCCTTCGTTCAGATGGCAGCTCCTCAAACATCCCGACGTGGTGGTAAAATCTAAAAATTTCTTTTTTTCTTCCAAACTTGTGAAACACACACATGTACAGCATATATTACAGACATGAGGACAGAGAATGACTCGTGATCGTCGACTTGTGTCGCTTCGTCTCGGCTGTGACCCGAATTCTTCTCCTTTGGTCGTTTAAGGCGTAGAGGGAATACAGAGGGGAGCAGAGACAACCTGACGCGACTCCAACACGAGGGCTCGGCTTTCCTTTAGTTGAGATTTTCTCCGTCGTGTTGCCTTGATTGTACGGCGGCAGAGGTTAGAGGCAGAGGACCCACTCAGGCTCAGGACGACAAGGCAGAGAAGAAGAAGAAGGGAAGGTGGGAGATTTCAAAGAATCATTCAAACTGATGTTGTCGTTAGAGCTCGACCATCGTCTGTCTTTGTTGTTGTGCTTTATTGCGTCTGTTAGTAACACGTTCCAGAGATTCATCATAAAGAACACAATGACAAAAAAAAAAAAAAGAAATATACAAAACCCCCAAGCTAAAAACACACCAGATCAGAATAAATCCAAAAGATATGAGACAAGGTTTTCTTTGTGCATTTCATTAAATCTGATATCATCTATTCCATTTCCGCTCCTTTCACCGGGTCCGACTCGCGGATCTTGATTTGAAGTCGCTCAGAGCAGCAAAGTGTCGCCGCTGCTACCGTATAATACATCTCTGATAAATATGTACACACACAAACATACACAATCAAATGTGGGTCATCGTTTAGGTTATGTAGAAAAAGAAGTCAGTCTCTGGGCCGCCCTCCAGGAGGGAAAAAGAAAGCGTGTGAACTGGGTCACCTCGGCTCTTCGGCGTGTCTTCCTCTCCCGGCGGGTCGTTGCTGCTGCAGCCAGTAGCCGTTAGCAGCAGCTTCTATACGTTAGTCTCCAGGCCGTTCATGTCAATGGAACAGTGGTCCTTGTCCCTGTGCTCTCTCTTGTGGTGAGACGAGTGGGCGTGCTTCTTCTTCTCTATCGGCCGGATGCCCTCCTCCAGCTGGATCAGGCGGGCCACGTCCGGGGAGAGGTGGTCCTGTTTGCTGCCCGGCGGGGGCGGCTGGTAGCAGCCGTTCTTCTGGTTCTGGTAGGTCATCATCTGCTGGATGCTGATCATGGGTTTGGTCTCGCATATCAGAGGCACCTAAGGACACGTGAAGAAGAAGAACAGTGCTTTTAAAAAAACAGGCAATGCTCACGAGGTCCAGAAAGAAGCCTGATGTGTGTTAGGTACAAAAAGCGAACGCCTACGGTTAAATTATGACATACAGTCGTCCTCAGATGTGTTCATAGCCTCCCATTAAAGAAGCAAACAAACAGCTGTCACTGAAATAAGCTGACAAAAGTAATAATAAATAAAAATATAGTGAAAATCATTACGTTGCTTTTGAATTGTGCTTCAACAGAAATATATTTTAAAAAAAGAGAGAAAAAAAAAAGAAGAAGCAGGGTTTGACTTTGGCCCACTGCACATCAGCAAAGTGCTCTGATTTATCCAGGACAGTTTTTAAAAAAAAAATTATTCTTGTCAACCACAATTCCAAAGCAACATCTTATTTCACTAAAGTATAATTTAGCAAATTTTTATTTATTACTACTTTTTTCAGTTTCTAGTTATTTGAGGGACTATTGTGAATTTTGTGTTTTCTTTAATGGAAGGAGATGAATAAATGGAGGACGACTGGATGTATAACATCTACGGTTAAATTATGACATATACCGCTTTCCTGGTAAAGTTACAGGTTCCACATTGTGCTGCTTCACACATGTCTCTTTCCATTTTCAGCTTTAAACACTGCAAACGTGGTTCATTTCACTATGACTGCTGTAGCCTTGTTCTGGAAGGATGGTTTCAGTTTCTGTAGCTTTTGCTTTTGTCCGATTCAGGAAGAAGACTCTCTCTGCTGACTGCACAGCATCCAATAGATGTGAACGAGTGTTTGAGACCAGGACTTTCTCTCTGAACAATCATTCGACATGGAAATATTCACTCAAATATGGTGAGTTTGTCAGGCGATGTTACAAAATTATTGGTTTATCGGGGTAGAGGAGCAGCTTGTAAATGGCTCTGAAGGGACTTCTTGTTAACATTTAGCCTTAATGTGCTGCCTTTCATTCACTATTTCGTACTTGTTCCGTTGTCTGATGCAGAAACAGAAAAATATGTAAATGCAAACAGCTGTATTTGAAATTTGGCTTATACAAAATCCAGAATACGTGAACACAGAGAGCAGAAGAGAAGCAAACTGAATAACAATGGATGACATGAAAACACAGCAGCCCACCCAGTCTGGGTTTATTGTTTTCAAATTAAATTTCTTTCTCGATGTCTCTCAGCTTTACAGCTTCCACAGAGCTTTGATCAGCGGGCATACGATTAAAACTAATGCTAACATTAGCCACACAATGTGCTAACACAGAAGATTTCCATATTGTTTAGGTGTCATTTCTTTAGATAGCGGGGGTGCATGAAGACTCTTGTGTTCACTCTTGCAGTCAACAGCAGAACACCTGTTGTGACATTTTAAAGTGAGCAGAAGCAGCTCCACAACGTGAATAAACCATTCAGACAGTGAGACAGCTCTGGCAGAGTTTGATCAGGTCGACTATCAGTTGGTTAGCTTGTATGTAGCAATGTAGCAGCTGATTACAACACTCGAGTGCTTTTTAAAAATTTTTTTTTTTTTTTTTAAAGCTGGGATGTTTTGTGTGGCGCGTGAGGAAGTAAACTTCTTGATATTTAAACAACTTTTAGTTTCCTCCAGAAAACACACACACAAAAATAGATTTTCACCACATGGGACCTTAGCATAGTACAGGAACACGACTAGGAACCAGGCAGGGGGCATTAGCCAACCAGAACTTAATAGGCCGGCCTGTGGCGGGCACATGTGGAGCCTGCAGGGTGCCCCACATTTAGACTATGCACCTGTCTGTGCTCTCCCCACGTGGCTGAAATCGTTTTCCACAGTAAGACAAACCTGTGGTTTTGATCATTAACTGTACTGTTTTACTGTCTGGGTAGAGCAGGGCTGCATTTTACTGTATTTTTAAATCACAGACAGAGTGGGTCTGCCAGAACTTTTACTGCAGGTAGGAAGCTGAAAAGGGAAGGATGACTGTCAGCTGATGCAGAGGTACACAACCTAGTGAATTAGCACCGCAAATTAGCAATGTTAGGTGTTTCAGTCCTTATTTATCTCCATCCATCCATCATCTCTACACCTTAATCCTCACTAGGGTCATGGGGGGCTGGAGTCTATCCCAGCTGACTCAGGGTGAAGGCAGGTTCACCTGGACAGGTAACCAGTCTATCACAGGGCTACACTTAGAGACAGACAACCAAGCACACTCACATTCACACCTATGGACAATTTAGAATCACCAATTAACCTCAGCATGTTTCTGGACTGTGGGAGGAAGCCGGAGAACCCGGAGAGAACCCACGCTGCATGGTGAGAACATGGAGACTCCACGCAGAAAGATCCCGGGTGTCCTCACCGGGACGAGAACCGGCGACCTTCTTGCTGTGAGGCAACAGTGCTAACCACCGAGTCACCTGACTGTTTTTATTGTCCATTGTGGAGTACAGTGATTTCCGGACTATACGGCGCTACTTTTTTCACACACTTTGAGCACTGTGGCTTAAACAATGACTAATTTATGGATTTTTACGAGTTTGCCTCGAGTGACATTGAGAGCGACAACGACACAGAGAGACTGAGGAAGTGTGTGACGAAGTAATTCTGTTCAACACTGAAGACTTTAGTGGTTTTAGTGCAGGAGGAAGATGAAGGTAGCGATCAATGACTTCTCCTGGTAGGCTGACGTATGATTTATTTTTTAACCAGCCGTGTTACAGGCGCTGTTTGGAAGTAGGTGCGGCTTATATTCAGGTGCAGCTCATTGGTCTGAAAGTGACGGTATATTTTATGTAGTTTAGGGTTGCAGGTCCTGTATCTCTGGTGTCGCAGCTGGTGTCGGCCTCCAGTCACAAATCAATGTCCTTGGACTTCACTCACTTTTGATGGTGATATGATTTGTGTTTATAAGTATATCACAGACGGCCTACTCTCATAGCTCCATCAGTGAGTCATTGGCTTCCTGCACGACTGCCTCCTCTTCCATTTTCTCCTTTCCAGAGTTTTAGTAAATGCTTTAACAAAAAGAAATATAAGTAATTGACATTGACTGCTGTGTCCTCAAGTGCTAAAAGACAGCTGTGACACTGACAAAAGTGAAGAAATGGCACCGTGACACGAAGTGCGCTATAAAGACTGTATGTAATTCACTGCTCCTTGTTTTGTTGCTCAGTATTAGGAACATTTTATGCCTCCTCTGCAGCTGGTGAAACAGTAAATATAATGTTTTAGCTTGTTGTTGTGTTGAAATGTTGTGATAATCGACTATCTTTTTGTCCATTATGAACTCTCTTGAGAAAATAAGCTGTTGGACTTTTTTACCACTACAAACCCCATGTCTGTGGATTGCGAAGCCATTTAGCCTATACTGGCGTAAGGAGGGGGTAACAGCTAGCCCACTTTATTGATTGTGGTTTCACAAGGCACCAAAATAGCTGTTTCCATCTGCTTCCAGTCTTTCTGCTCAGGTATCAACTCCCAGCTCCATATTTGATGTATAAACAGAAGAACACTATTAGTTTTCTCATCCGGCGCTCGGCAAGAAAATGTCAAATGATTCCTTAGAATCTTCCATACAGCTTATTGAGTTGACCTTCTGCATACAAACGAGTATTTTACGCTCTTCTTTCAGTCTTTCAGAGCGAAATAAATGTCGCTATACTTTGGTCGAGTAATAGGAGACATTAGAAGGATGGTTGGCAGCGTCAGAGTCCATCGATTTGTCTTTTAAATGCTCTCACCTGCTCTCCTTCTTTGACAAAATCTTTTCTGCAGATATGAGCCATGATGCCGGTGGCCAGAGCGTCGCCCATCACATTCACCATGGTCCTGAATCGATCCCTGGATAAAGAAGTCAAAAGTCACCCGCAGGGCTGATGCAGCTTCAGAGAAACTATTACCCGTAATCACTGCGTATTATCTGAGTCGTCACAGGACTGGGGCCGTTTGGCTTGTTGAGATTTAGGCGCTGTACATCAATAACACATCAAGTGAGGCACATATATTCCTGTGTGTTTCTACTGATTGTATCTCTACTTAATCTCCAGGTAAGAAGCTTTAGATAAGACTGGCTGGAAGTTCGCTAAATGCCACAACATTTTCCTGAAAACGGGGGCTTTGAATGTGTCTCTATAGGGAAAGGTGAAGCTTCACTCACAAAGCCCAATCAACGGCGATGATGAGGGTGATGTCATCAGTGGGCAAACCCACGGAGGTCAGCACAATCACCATGGTAACGAGGCCGGCCTGAGGGATCCCGGCTGCACCGATGCTGGCGGCCGTGGCGGTGATGCTGCGAGGAAAGACGAAGAGGGAGCGTTTATCTTCACAGGACGTACAGAAAACTGTCCTCTGCAAAAGCTGTGTGGCATTTTTTTGTCTGAACTGAAAGTGCAGATTAGTGTCAATGGAACCGCAGGAATAATAAAGGAATATGTGGGGATGCTGGTGGGAAGGAACAAGTAGTCTGAATGCTGTTTTATGCTCCTTTATCTTTAGACTTTCAGAGCTGGATGTCACAGTATTTACTCAACATTTATTTGGCAGCTACAACGTGCAGATTAATATTTTGTGCACAAAACGCTCGATAAGCTTTCAATAGGACCGTAACCTGGTTATCTAGCGCAAGTTTGGCCGCCTTTAATTTGAAATCAGCATATTTTTATTGGGATGCATGATGCATGATGACAGGAACAAGATTAAACAGTTTGGCTGATCTCAACACTGATGAACTGGAGGAACACTGGATGAACCAAAAACAATCATTTCTGTATTCATATTATGATAAAGCTGGGTATCAGAAATTGCAGCGTTGTAGCAGCAGTTCATATAAATTGAGTTAATTAAGTTGTCTGCTCTGTTGTCAGTGTTATTTCTTATAGATTTCCAGAGAAACTGTCTTTATTCAGTGGCTCTGTTTAAGCCGAACCTTTAAAGACTTCCACCAAATGCGAGTCTCTGTTCTAATGCGGCACAGTTGCATCTTCGTATTTTTAAAACCAGCTAGTCTTTTATTTACTACAGGACCAAACAAAAGCAACTTTTTGTTTTTGAGAAGTTCATTCAGCTTGCTGAGATAACTTAGCAGTAGCTAGCTAGCTTAAGCTTTGTTAGCATTGCTAGAAAACTGCCTCTACCTCCAGATGATTTTTTTTCCCCCAGTTCACTCCCTTTAAACCCTAAATTCATAAAAATGTGGCCTATTTTTCTAATACAACCCACAGAAGCAACAAATAATTTGGTTAATTAATAATAAATGTCTTTAATGGTAACTGTTGTTAGCAAGCTAGTTAGCTGGCAGCCTAGCATTTTGCAGCCTCACAAAAACACTACTCAAACTATTATTTATGTGGTTCTTATTGCATTTTTCTTTGCTTTATAAATGACTGAAAGCAATACTGCTACCAAAATTAGGAGTGTCACTCTTAACAAAGCTCTACTAATTGAACAACAACTATTAATCAGCTTTAATGGATAACGATTTAGGGTTAGCAAAAGGGCAAATTTATGTTTATGTCTTCTCTGCAGTTTTGGAGTTGTATATAGTATAAATTAAAACTATATATTAAGCTCAATTTTAGTGGCACTTGAACATTAAAATGCTGCTAAAATTATATATTGTGTAATAATTGAGCAATAGCTTTTTTTCAGACATGGAACAAGTGGTTTAAGTGACAAACTTGAGACGTTGGTGCCTGTTATGTCACTGCTTCATTCAGACACACCAGTGACAGTGATGGAGAGAGCTGCAGTACACGCTTGACCTTTACTTTACACACATAATTGGACAGTATAGCGGCTGCCTATTTGTAATGGCATGCTGTTCAGACTCGTTGAAAGGGAGACGTAAATGTGAAGAGGTCTGACCCGGTAAGACTTTTATGGAAAAGCAACCGGGGTGAAGCTGACACATTTGGATGCTGTCAAATCATCGGAGAGGAGTCTGAAAGAGGCTTATCCACCATGTACTCGTCACTATTTTTGCTTTTAATGTGGTATTTTGTACTTGTGATATCACGACCTCTAATTAAGTAGCGAAAAGGAATTCAAGATTTTGTGAGAGTCGACGTTTGGTCTGAGGCGCTGGACCTCCGAGGACAAGCCGCCGGTCGTTCTGCAGAGCCGGGGAGGTTGGGGTTGAGGTTGGGTTAGCATGCAGATGGAGCAGCTTCGTGGTCAGCGGCCAAACGGCACGGGAACAGGGCGCGGAGAGGGAAAAATTATTATAATTCTGGCGTGACAAGGGAGATGAGTAATACAGGTCATATGGGTTTTACCGCCAAGGGATTATGAGGGAATGTGCACAGACCGCAGCCGTGAGGAGAGGTCTGCTCTTAATGTTATTACAGTGGGACATGTCATCAAATCAGAGGAGGGACGCCACTTGTTCCCGGACCTGGGAGGAAGGGGGTGGCTTTGTTTACCTGGGGTTGGAAATAATGGAGTTGTGGCGTGGCGGGCAGGGATCTGTCGGTGTCTGTCTGTCTGTCTGTCTTTCCCCAGGGCTTCCAGACTGATTTAGCAGAAATCAGATCAGACTAAGAAGCTCATATGAGGCGTAATCTGTGTGACATTTACATATATGTGTATCTAGTAAATCCCATAATATTTGTTATTAATTCAGAATTAAACTAAATGTGTGACGTTAGATTAATTCACATGTTGCTCTCAAAACACCACCGAGTATGCCTGTTGTGCCATTTTTTTGACCCAGATGAAATTTGCTGTTACACTTTCGGGTGTTTTTCCTCATTTGCAGTAATTGCTGAGATAAATATCTCTCCACAGAGACGCTGAGGGGAATCATTTAACAAAGTAGTTTAACATTTGGGAAAGTATGCATATTTAATTTCTTGGCATGTGTTAGATAAGGAGACTGATATTGGAGCCGGCAGCCGGTTCGCTCTTATTAAGAGCACAAGCAGACAAAGTGGTTCTGAAATAGCTTCATTATTATTTCCCCACAAAACCAACAACAAATGTGCACTTCAGACAGGGCAAGCGTACTTGTTGTTCCTGCTTCCAGTCTTTATGCTAATTTTAGCAAATTGATGCCAAGCTCTGGCTCCAGAGTTAATTCACAGGCATGAGAGTGCCAAAGCCAACACTCCCAAGAAAGTCAATTATAGTTTAATTTATTATATTCCTTGAGTTCAAGCTGTATAAAAGTGTTTGCAGGAAATAGCTCAGCCGGCGTATTACCCTCTGGAATATGTTGTTTCACTCTGGTTTTTATGTGGATTAAACAACCTACACACAAAATAGTTGGTAGCCCTCAGTTAATGAAAGAAAGACCCACAACGGTCACAGAAATAACTTGAATCTGACAAAAGTAATAATAAAAAAAAATTCTGTGAAAATTAACCAATGAAAATCAGATGTTGCTGTTGAACCGCGGTTCAACAGAATTATTAAAAAAAATAAACTCATGAAACAGGCCTGGACAAAAATGATGGTGCCCCTAGACAAGACTGAAAATAATGTGACCATAGAGGGACATGTTCAATCAAGGTGTGTCCTCTAATTAGCATCACAGGTGTCTACAGACTTGCAATCAGTCAGTCGGCCTATATATAGGGTTACAAGTCGACACTGTGCTGTTTTGGTGTGTACCACACTAAACATGGACCAGAGGAAGCCAAGGAGAGAGTTGTCTCAGGAGATCAGAAAGAAAATGATAGAGCAGCATGTTAAAGGTAAAGGCTATCAAACCATCTCCAAGCAGCTGGATGTTCCTGTGACTACAGCTGCACATATTATTCAGAAGTTTAAGATCCATGGGACTGTATCCAACCTCCCTGGACGTGACCGCAGGAGGAACACTGATGACAAATTGAGGAGACGGATAATACGAACGGTAACGAAAGAGCCCAGAACGACCTCTAAAAACATTAAAGGTGAACTCAGAGGTCAAAGTACATCAGTGTCAGATTGCATCATCCGTCGTTGTTTGAGCCAAAGTGGACTTCATGGGAGACGACCACGGAGGACACCACTGTTGAAATTTCGTAAATTTTGTAGACATGAGAGTTTCAATCTTCTCCAAAAAAAACATCCAAAATGCTGAATGAATACTTAGTGCAGTCAGATATTTATCTCAGCAATTACTACAAATGAGGAGAAAAGAAAAAATCCCAGTGTTTCTTTTTGCCAAGGTCATTTCAAACTATTCCTTTCACAGAGGTGTTCCAGCGATTTAGTATTATACCTCCATAGGTGAAGTACTACAGTGTGATGAAGGAATGCAAAAAATCTGAGCAGCGGGGAGTCATTCTTACCTTTATTCTCAAGTAAAGGAAAATGTCTGTGACTTTTAAACTCCATTCCTGAGCTGAAGCCTTTAGAAAACCATATCTACACAATTAGACTGAACTTGGTGATCCGCTTTCAAGCTTTTATTTTGCTAGTTTAAAAAAAAAAGGTTCAGCAGTTCTTGACGATATTTGCTGAAGCAGCCACGAGAGTTTCATCTAACTGTGGTAATCACCCTGATTTCCTAAACCTCCCTCGCCTGCTGACATTTAGTTCATGAAATGTTCTGTCAGAGTCGGTCTTTATGAGCACGCTCTTTACCTTATGGTGATGATCTGCCCAAAATCGAGCTCGTAGTTGTTCACTTGGGCGATGAAAATGGCGGCCACGGCCTCGTAGAGCGCCGTGCCGTCCATGTTGATGGTTGCCCCGACGGGAAGCACGAAGCGGATGATGCGTCTGTCGATGTGATTGTTCTCGAGGAGGCACTTAAAGGTGATAGGCAGAGTGGCGGAGCTGCAGCGGGGAGAAAAATAATAGAAACTGGTCACGAACCTTCTCCGAGACAAGCGGCGTAACATCATGAAATACCTCCTATAGGAAGGTATATGAATAATAGATGTGCTGTCAATCAAACAACAATGGTGCGTCTCAAAATGCATTGTTAAATTATTCCAAGTAGCTGTTTTGTCCCTGGAGGGGAGGTGGGAGATGTGGAGCCGATGCTAGTGGGGGATTGATTGGCATATACATAGGAATATGTATGTTAAACATTTAGATGTACCGGCAGTGCTACACAGAACAAAACCTTTAAACGTTTCAGCAGCTGAGCACCTGAAGGGAATCAAAGCATCAAGAAGGTGATGAATGACGTGCTGATTGTAAATGAGGAGTTAACACCTGGAGAGGCTACAAGCTGCAGCGTTGTTGTTCAAGATCACCGTATTCATAACACGAAACAGTCCTAATGTGGAGGTTACGGTCACAAACAGCCATTTTCACTCACGGTAGCTTCCAGAATTCGCTCCATTTAAACTCTCAATACAGCAACATCTACCGCGACCTTGGCACGCTCATAGCTGCTTTGTGTTTTCCAACCATAAATTGAAGCTCATCATTATTACATTCATTCAGTTTTTGCGGCGGACGTTCTGGTAAACATCACGATGGAAACATTCCATCCATAAAAATATCCATTATGTGTGTCAGAAAGGCTTTCTCCCATGTGTGGTCTTGGACAGACGCTATAAGAGCCTCGACTGGCTGCATATAATAACCACTGAAGGTGCTTCAGTCACCCTATTCATTCCCTATTCAGGACTTTTGGGGTCTTTTGGACCTCAATCTGGTTTAGGTGAGAGGTATGGTTTTTAAAAAAAAAAAAATCTGTCATGCATTTGGAACCAAAAATACGTCAACTTATCAGAAAATGTATTAAAATAGTATAAACGTCTGTAATGAATACCAACATATATTTTTCTTGGGGTCCAATGGACAATGGATGTTAATAAACCTAACCCTAAGTATGCAAAGTCAGATTTCCCACTTTTACCTGGAGGAGGTGGCCAAGGAGATGAGCAGGGCCTGCAGAATGCCTCTGATGTAAACTATGGGGCTCTTCTTAGTGATGAAGAAGTACATAGCAGGGAGGATGAATAGACCATGCAGCACCAAGCCCATGACCACAGTGATGGCGTAAAAGCCCAGCTTCTTTCCCATGGCTGAGGGGTCGTCCATTTCTAAGATCTTTCCGGCAACCAGGAACACAATCCCAAAGGGAAAATACCTGTGAGTGATAGAAGGGAAAGAGAATAGCTGTTCAGGTTTTTACTGCCAGAATTGTCTTTCCCTATGTAGCCAAACATGGTGGTGCTCTGAGCTAAGTGCCAACGTCAACATGCTAATATGTGCACAATGACAACTTTCACATATAGTTCACCATTTGATTCCAGTGAGATCGCAGACGAGCATTTGCCACAACACAAAGTACAGCTGAGGCTGGTGTGGATGTCATTAGGTTTCTTTATATTTAGCCATAAAACACAAGTCCTGGACCTTTTGTGTGACGTGACGCTAAAGGAAAAGTCATAGGATTACCAAAGTAATTATCCTCTGGACATGATATAGATTCTCCTACATGGATGAATGCCAGCACCTCATAGATTATAAAAGCCACAGATTTCCTATACGCTAATGCATCATTTTAATGTTCATCTAAAACAAGATTATATTTCATGGGAAAAAAAAGAAAAACGTAAAGTCTGACTCATGCTTTCCACAGCGACTACCCACAAAGGTGCACGTGATGTGAGTTTTGTCGTTCACTTGAGCCCTCAAGGGAACACTCGAGACCGCTTGGAGTCTTTGCGATGGTTAAACAAATGCTTTTCATGAAGAGAAGCAGTCTGAGGAGATTCTCAGTTATCTACGCCTTCACTATTCATCTTTTTAATGAGTAACTGAAGTAGCTGCTGCCAGACCTTGGAGGTGCTTTGAGTTGATTTCCATTAGCAGTGCCCAAACACAGTGAGAAGTCCTACGTTCTCCAGAAGTTGTTACTGTGCATGACACACCTCAGAAAAAATCCAATTAATGGTGTGACGGCTCAGCGTTTAACTAGTGTGAGGTGTAAAATCACAGCCTTTAGAAAACATCCACGGAAGTCCAGTGTGTTTTTCTGTATTTGTATTTGTTGGTGACTTCAGAACTACCATACTCACCAAATGACAATGGCAACAATCTTCAGAACTGCCTCGTTCAAACTCTGGCAGAAGTTGACCAAAGCACTTCCGTTGGGTCCCATTCTGCCCAACATTATTCCTGGATTGACGACAAAAGACACTAATTATGCCTCATGCATAAATGGATAATCACTGTAATTATCTACTGTACACCCACAGTCATGTTTTCGGCAGTGTGAATTGATGAGAACGGAATCATTTCCTTGTTTTCTGCTTGCCTCGTGGGAGCACAACTCATTTTAAGTTTAATTATGCAAAAGCATGGATGTGCCAGGTCTGTAATTATGCTTGTGTGCACTTTGTGCACATCACCAATGCTTACCCATGGTCGCCGAGAAAATGACGATCCCCAGCACGTTCATGCCTTCGCTGGTGCCGGGTGATGTTTTCATGATGACGTCGGGCGGCGGCGTGAGATCCAGGGAAAAGTTCTGGACGTCGGTGCCGTTGTCATCCTGGATGCCGTAGATGTAGACCCTGCGCGTGGTGGTCTCATCCAGGAGCTGGGCCACCGTTGGCTTGGGGATGAGTTCTGGGACTCTTTGGGTTCGGTACTTGAAACCAAAACAGAGCACAGGCCCTGACAATCAGAACTGGTCTAAAATCCCCAAAACCTCTTCCCACTGTCTCAGAATTGAATCGTCCCAAAAGAAAGGTCTTGAACATGATCAAACTTCCGTCCACAACAACCCAAAACCTGTCCAAAACACACTGACAGTCGCTAGCCAAACTCCAACAATGCCAACACAAACTGCAGTCCGAGTGACGCCATCTCCGGTCCCCACAGCACCAACCAGTAAGAGGCTCCACCTGGTGGAACAACCAGGCACTACAGCTGATCTACGATACATTCCCCGATCAAAGGATTCTCACATGATAATGATGTGTGCGGTGATATCAATGAGTTCAGTTGACAGTGTGCCAGTTTGTAACCTCAGTTTCTACACTAGTTTCCTATATGGATGAATGCTAGCAGCTAATAAAGGCTACAGATGTCCTATATACTTATGCGTCACTTTAAAGCTCATCTAAAAAATAAGTAATGTTTTCCACCACGAGTGTCCACAAGAGTACACATGATGTAAATTTCATCCTTTCCCAAGCCACTGAGGGTCCTCTCGAGGCTGACTGGAATCTTTGTAATGCTTAAACATGAGCTGTAGAAGCTGTCTGAGGAGATTCTCAGTCATGTACACCTTCATAATTAATCTTTCAAAGAATATCTGAAGTAGTCACTGCCAGACCTGGGAGGTGCTTTGATCTGTGTACGTGTTCTAGTTTGAATAGAATCAAATAGAACCGTGTTTGGGTCGAAGTTAGCATTGGTCATGTGGAAACCATGAACTTTCTAATTTAAATATTGTAGCTTCAACAATGACGAAGCATTTAGATGTGAAGATGGATACTGAGTCTGTACACGAAGGCTGTTTTCGAAATTACCCCCACACCCTACATAGTGCACTATATAGGGTGTCGACCATTTTGTAGTGCTGTCCGAATGTTCGGTTACTCACTCAAAATATCCCACGATGCACCATGAAAAGTACAGCCGATGGTCATGAACCAAGCAATATAGACCATCCTTTAGGTTGTATCGTTGGATTTGATTTTACCCATCTGTTAGCCATGTAGTGAACTGTGAATCTGATGTGTTTGCACTACGCTGCTACGGCACAAATGGCAGCTAGCAAACAACGTAATTAATAGCTAATAGTGTCCGAAATGTTACTTTGCTCCCTAAGTAACAGGGGCTCCCTACATTGTGGTACTTAGATAATGAGCAGGAAGTAAGTGGATGATTTCAGACATAGCCTAAATATGTAGTTACGGATAGCAGCTAGTTAGCTTAGCCTAGCATAAAGAATAGAATTGGGAGGAAAACAGCTAACCTTATTCCCGTCGTTTTTGCACTTTTTGTATCCTTTCTTAATACATAAATAAGTCAACAAGCGAGGTTTGGCATATTAAATAACAAGCTTAAAGGTTGTATTTTTCTGTCTTTGGACTGTCAAAGCTAGCAAAGCATACTGTATCCCCCTTTTTTCAGGCTTGGTGCTAAGCTATGCTAACTAGCTGCTGGCTGTAACACAGTAATATTGCTCCTGTTTTTGTTTTTAGCGTGTCTTTATCTTCAACGTTGTTACTCACCTGTTGAAACGTAGCTTGGACCAGGTTGGCTGGAAACATATTGCTGGGAAAGAGAATTTAGGAAATTCGTTAATATTTTCCCAAGTGAATATACGATGTAATTCGAAATCTAATACAAACTAATGTAAAAATGCACATTCGAAAACACAGGAGCCCATAAATAAGAGGAGAACTGGTAGTTTTTAAATGAATGCTTCATTTGATATAATGAAAAACATTTTCTTGTGTCTATTCGTATGTTCACGACCATGACGGCCCGCTGTGAGACACTGAATTAGCACCTTGCCCTTTGCATGACTCGTGTCTCTTCTATGTTGAAAATAAAAACCCATCCAAAGGTTTTCATTCTCGTTGTGTTCGCCTCTCTTCCTGCTGTTAACATTAATTCCATTTGCACCAACACTCTGGATCCTCGTTAGTGCTCCTATGGGAAATAATGTGCCTGTAGTAGTTTACTTTGTTAGTTAGATATTTTTCTGTCACTGAAAGCTTCCCACATACTATAATACGCTTCAGTGACCCCTGTAAAGAGCCCACTCATATCTCAGCTCCGCCTTTAATGGATCATTTTAGCATCGAGTCGTCAGGTGCTGAACAGCGGAGGAGCAATCAAGAATGCTATCTAAAGATGCAGGAGGTTCAACAACCCTCAGAGAGATACACGAGCTGAAAGCTTCTCCACTCACAGGATGTAAGATTAAAGGATGTATGCTGGGTTACTACGAACCCCCGGTTGGGCTATTTACAGTACATAAACTCTTTTCTGAGCTCACCTGTTTTCCACAATCACACACAAGTTGGACTATAAGTTGCAGTAGTTCTGGATGTGAACTGTGCTCCATCGTTTTCTATCAGGGCTGTAATAGGCCAGACAGCAGAGCGGGGTGAAGCCCACCCTCACCCGCCGTTACCCTCTGCAGCACACTATGATTTAATGGATGAACGTATGGTTGGATGCGTACAGACATACACTGTAATCACTGTAATTTAACTGTCACAGCTCAGTGATTTTCAGACGTGCTTTTTCTCTAATTAAACGACACCATTGCGTTAACAGCTGAGGTTATATGGCATGTGAGTGAAGTGAGATTGCCGGTATTGATGAATGATGGTTTCACAGAGAAGAAGAGAATAATTAGAGTTTTGACGCAGTGATGTGGGCTCTAACAAAAATGAAGAATGATTGATAGCAATACAGCGCCTATAAGAAGTATTCACCCATCTTTTATCGCTTTTCAGCACTGAATCATTGTCAATGCAATTTGGTCTTTTGAAAAAGAATTTACAAAACAGATTCTTTCATGTCAAAGTAAAAACAGACTCAAGGTCAACTGACTGAGTGTTGAGGTGGTTTGGACATCTGATTCGGATGCCTCCAGGGAGTCTTCCTCTGGAGGTCTTCCGAACACGTCCACCTGGGAGGTGACCCCGGGGCAGACCCAGAACCCTCTGGAGGGATTATATCTCTGCTGGCCTGGGAAATGCCTCGGGATCCCGCAGGAAGAGCTGGAAAGTGTTGCTGGGGGGAGGGAAGCCTGGAATGACCTGCTCCGGCTGCTGCCCCTCTTTTTGAAGTGAGGGAAACTTTATAAACTCTAATCAGTCATTTGTTTTTAATGTGACCACAGACAGTATCAGCATGTAGTGTTTTCACAGTATCATGCTTGGCAAAACCTGGGCTGCTCATCAAGTGTGAACTTTAATATCTCAAATGTGGGCACACACACACAAAAAGGGATTTTTACCAATAATTTGACCTGATGGCCATTCAGGGTCAGTTCAGGAGAAATTCCTACATTAGGTAGCTACAGGTCTCACTATGTTCTATGATTTCTTTAAGCTCTCGATGTTGTTTAAAGTGTGGAACATAATCTAAAAAACAACTATACAATAACACTGGTCTACACCCATTTTGGGGTCAAAGTTTTTTGAGCTGATTTTGGACAGTTGCAATGCGTTGAATCCAAATATTACACTGGTTTTCCTCAATGAGGTAACATTTTTGCCCAAAAATCGATTTTTTAAATCGAGTTGGCATAAAAACCTGACCTGATACAGAAAAGCAGATGTCATTTTTGGATTCAGCGTTGCAGAAATGTCCTAAATCAGTTTTAGAAATCCTAGACACCTTCAATAAAGTATTTTTTGTAACCCAGTGTAATCAATGCAGGGGCATGCTGATGTTTGATGCGTTGCCCAGGTGCATGCTGGGAATCTTAACTGCCATTATTCTTGTAGGGTCAGCTATATTTCCACAGTGCTGTGACAGAATAATGTGACTGCACCTAATTATCTTATTGCTATAGGTGGAAAATAAATGGCTCCTTTGTTTTTCCTCCAACCAAACATTCTCCTGCAAAATATTGTTGAAATTGTTGATTTTTGCACAGGGAGATGAGCACCGTCTTATCGGCACTGTTTGAATGTAGGCTGCTGCTTGGAGGTTGTTGTTTCCTGTAACTAAGGAGACACACAGAGAGTGGAAGAGGAGGAGAAAGTGCAGCAGACGTTGCTGATGCTCTCTACATCCAGTCAGCCAAACTGCTAATCTGCAGCCTCTCAGACGAACTAGTTTGAGTGGTTTCCACCGTGCATGAATTTAGAGCCCTGTAATATTTTCATTAGCGTAATTGAGTCCAAACTGATCATCTTTTTTTCATTTGCTCCGTACTCTGCCGCCTTCCTCTACAGCCTGCGGTCACGTTATGAAGCATTCTTTATACGACGAGAGTTTGTCAATCAGCAAGGTCAACGTTGCATTAGCGCTGGTTGTAAATCCCGCGGCGACACAGAGCTCAGATCACAGTCGGATGTCAAACAACACATTTCACATGCGGAGAGATTAAAAGCCATATTGTATTTTACAGCTCCTGCGTTTAATGGAAGGAAGTTTAAAGGCATATGGCGAACATATCCAGGGCCGGCGCGGCGGCGACTGTTCTGCGCGGATTTGACCACTTAGCCATTCAGCGGCCTCTAAGACAGAGCAAAGCAGGCTAATGAAGCACTCCCACCCCAGAGCTCCTAATAAATCCAAGTATGTACATATTCATACACAGTGTGCTCATTATACATACTCATCACACGAGCACACACGAGCGCAGACAGTCGGGCCCGTTTGTGAGTGTACCGATATAGTATGCCTGCATGATAGATGAAGGCTGTAAAGAAGCTTTGCGAGATAAATCCAAAGCACAGCTGTGCTCTGTAAAACACACACACACACACACACAACCAAACACACACATGCATGCACCGACAGCCTGGGAACGACTGAGCTTCACCACTGCACATGATCAGTGCGTCGTTGGATTTCATGGGCTTGACCAGTTTATCATTCTCTCTCTCTCTCTCTTTTTTTTTTTTAAACATTCAGATTAAAATTGAATCATCCCAGTAGACCTGCATCGTAAAAACGATACCGAAATCAACAGCGGATGTAAAACATGCCTAACGTTAAACCAGTAGCTGTTTGTTATTTCTCAAATTAAACATAAATAATTAGTCGTTTGTAATCAATGTTCTTTAGTTCTGTGCGTTTGGGCGGGCCAACATTCATCCACTTTGTGAATTTGCATTTAATTAACTCATCCTGGTGGTCTCAGCACCTCGTCGGCTCTGTTTTGCAGGTTGTTTGACGTTATTTTCACCGTCATGTTTCTCACTGCGGGCGTGTCCCGGGTTGGCCTCTAACACACAAACCCTCATCTCTCAGCAGCGCTAATTAGCTTAGCACAATAACCCATTGGCACGCAAGGCTTCAGGCTTTACACTATGACCTCAAACATCTCCCCCCTCCGCTTCGGTCGTCGAGTGCACGCAGAGCGAGTCTGCTTTCATTAGCGCTGCAGTCATCTTGTTTGCAAAACAAGCACACGGGCAGCACTAGAGTTAGATTTGTTCTGAATAAAGCCAATATTGTGATAGATTTCTCTTTTTTCCTGGATGGTTAGTTTCATTTAAAAGATTTCATGTGACTTTACTGATGTGAAGTTGTTGCTTTAATCGTTTCTAGAGTTCTAATGAGGTTGAGAATTTTACATATGTGACAAAATATTCTTGTTTCTTATCTTATTATTCATCTTAACCCTTATCATAACCCATCAAATTTATCTGCTGGCCTCTCTTAGGAACCCCTTCAACACAACACTGAGGGATTATATATAAAGGTTATAAGGTTTTGTTACATTTTTGTGTGTTTTTTTTTTTGGTATATTTTTAATTACTAGCAGTATTTCCTTGTGTATATTCTTCTAACTAGCCCTGCTTTGTGTATATTCTTCTAACTAGCCCTGCTTTAATGTATTAATTACTAGTTGTGGTGGTCCAAACATTTTTTTGTATTTGTTTTGTAATATTTTTGATCATTAAAGCTGTTTTTTCTTATTTGAATTTTAAGAATGTGCATCTGTTATATATATATTTCCTTAATAAATGTATTATTTTAACATTTATTTTATTGGAGCTGATTTATTATGGATTTATTACATTATATTTATTATTATTTATTTATTTTTGGGGCGATGGTATGGTTTGTGCAGGTATAGAGTCACATGTTTGCCATCTACTTTTTGACTCTTGTGGTAAAAATTTCCAAAGAATAAAGGCATTATATACGGTGTAACAGTGGTTCCTAAACTTTTTGTTTCCTTCCTGATGTTTTTTCCCTCACTGTACTACCTCAAACATATACTCATAGCATCCATACATGTGCACTTTCTCCAGTTTATAATGCACCATGAAAATATACAGGATACATATAGATCTTCCAGCAACTTTCGCAGAACATCTTTCTGCAACTTTTCATGTGTATCTAAGCCAGTGTTTCCTGAACTGTTCTCAATAGAACACTGTTAAATGCTGCATTTGACATATTTAACGGGACCGGGGTGGGTATTCATCCTTGAGCCTGAGTAAAAAGACGATGTATTTTTGTGAAGGACCTTCTGAGGCCCTGAAAGAACTGATTCAAGAGTGCTAAATGTTTTTTTGTTGTCTTTTTTTATACATATAGAATATACAGTTCATTTAAATGCAAGTCCGGTCCACGTCCTTATAAGAATATTACAGTTTCATCTGAAAACACGTGACAGCTTCTTACCGAATGAGGTCCAGCAGGGCGTCAGCAGAGCTGGTCATCGGCTTCTTGCTGTCCTCAGAGTCCTCCTTCTGAGCGGCTCCGCCCGGGTGGATGATGTACACCATGACGATGCCCACTACCACGGCGACGAAGGTGGTCCAGAGGTAGTAGGAGATGGTCATGATGCCCAAACGGCTGGAGCACTTGGCGTCCAGGGCGGCGAGACCGGACATCAAACTGAAAGACAAGAGGAGGCAGACAGAAAAGTTTAAAAGGATTGTTGAAAACTGCTGCTTTTGTTCAACGTGGATGCTTTGAGGGTGACTTTCCTGCAGAGGGAAACTGGAGGAAACCATTTACATAGCGAAGAAAGAAATATATTACACAACTGAGCTGCATTTCAAAGTCACTTTATTACATTACCAAACCACACATTCTCAAAGTGAGATGCACCTTCATGCATTTCAGAGAAACTGTCTCCTAATGTAAGAAACCGTGTCAGTTTTTCGTTGTCACATACAGCAGCGAGATTCAACAGCCTGGAACTACAATTTCCTGACACATCAGAAGAAACCTTCTGGCAGGCTGAAGCACAATATTCGCGCTAATAACACGCTTTATGTGCACGTACAAGAAAGCCTCTCATCAAACCTTCCGCCGAGCGTCTGACTGCGGAGCTTTGAAACCACCGTAGCACTTAACTAAACTGAAACCCCACTTCAAAGTGGAGAAACCCTCTTTGTGAGCAGCATCAGAGAAGGAAGTCTGTGACACCGAGAAGACGTCTCCTGTGACGGAGAGAAGAAACCGACTGAGATGATTTCCTCGATGTATCTGCCTTTCAACATGTGTATCTCTGTCATTCTTTCATTTCTCCCTCAGCTAAATAAATTGCTAATCTGTCCTTTTGGAGCTTCGTGCGTCTCTCTTTGCTCAGAAACCCCGAAGGCGGAAGATAAACAACTTAAGTTACATTCTAAACAGATGAGGGTAATTTGCATTTAAATGGGCAGCTGAATAGTGCTCCTGTTCACATACACACTTTCACGGTACTGACATGTTGACATTTACAGCGTCTTTTCATGACAAAAAAAAGAAAAAATTACAACAGAGTCTTTTATCCCTGATGGCTCCTTGGTACGTATAGAAAGACGTCGGAGCGCTTGTCATTTGTTAGAAGTGTGGGAGCAGCAGAGGGCGATGCCATTAAAGGCAAGGAGAAGGAACGTTGAGGAGATCTTGAGCTGCGGTGACAAGATTTCAACCCATTCATTCGTCAATTTTCTATGCTCTGCTTCATCCTGTGAAGGGTCTAGGGGGCTGACAGCTGATTTAGAGAAGCAGGTTACGCCGTGGACGGTCTGTAAGCTGGTTTGACTTGGATGGAGGTGCTGAGTCTGTCCGTGCAAGAAACTCTAAGATACCGTCGCTCCTCCTTTTGATGGCTAGCCACGAAAGACTCTAACGAACCCCATTGTGGCACACAACGACTCACATGACGAGGGGGAGGAGCAACAAACCCCCAATTTAAACTCTGGTGTTAAAGGCTCCTTATGGATATCTTGAACTCCCATCTAGTCAGTCTTCAAGAAACTCAAGCGAGTCCAGTTGCTATGATTAATCTACGAGATCCTAATTTCACAGCCACAAAAGTGCTGTTGTGTGAGAAATAAGCCCACAGAGTCTGGGATCCCAACGTGACTGTGGTGGCAATATGTAAGGAAACAAAAGCCACAGAACTGGCTGTCCAAATGGGATTACAATTAAATGAGCTTGAATGAAAAGAATGCTGCGTATACACAAGGTGAAGTGAATGACAATAATCATCTTGTTACGATGCAACGCTCTGCTGGGAAATCTCAACTTCTGGTACTCGTGTGGGTGTCGGCTTGCCACGTACCGTCCAGCCAAACAAACTCTCATGGCGATGTCACTCCCAAGCTACAGTGAACTCCCCCGACAGGACAAAGCCAACACCCAACAAACTACTCAGGAACGACTTGAGAAGCACAACCAAGAGCCGAAACTCCCCCGATCTCAGTCCGATCGAGCACCAATGGATCCACGGAGATCTCAACTAGCAAGTTACAAGACCCAAAGGATTCACTGCCAACGTCCCGGTGCCAAACAACACGGGACATTTCTATGCCGTGACGTGTCGAAGCTGTTTTTGGTGGCTCGAGGGGGACCTACACAAAATTAGTGGTTTTAATGTTGTGGTAGATCGGTATACATCCCGTCCAAACTGTCAGCAATTCATATTCCTACATCGTCCTACAAAATGTTTAAACATAACTGAAAGCAAGACTGTTTAACCTTTGTTGAAGTGTGGCCACGTGTGGCAGATTCAGCACAACGGCAAACATGGTGTAATGGTAGCATCAGTAAAGACATGAAGTCAGTCAACTAAGGAGTGTCAACACTGGGTGACATTAGCCACCATAAACTACTGGTCACACCAGTTCAAGGCTTGAGCAGCAAACCCCCCAAGTGAGCTGTACCGAGTAATGATAACAAGACCACAGCACAGTCTCTCTTTGAATGTGCAGAGGCATTAACTTTCTTCCCATTTGCGTGATATGAAGCTTGGACGTCTCCACCCAGTCAGCACTAATCCGACACGTTCGCGGTCAGAAAACGGCAGCTCGTCATTAAACTGAAGCTGTTGTATGGATCAAACCAAGTGAGCTTTCCCTTCGGACAAAACCATAGGAGCTGTTTTTCCCATTCTTCCATTCTTCCAGTATCTAGTATTTAGTGTACATGCTGGCTCTGATCTTTTGATTAACTGATGAGAAGGCAAATGTGGAGATATTCCTCTAAGTTCAACAACGCTGCTCGCTCTGAATCCGTGCTGCGGGTTGTTGCAAGGTTTTTTATTTATATTTTTAGCAAACTAGCCAGCTGAGTGCTCCAGTTCCTTCCGACTTCGTGCACTCCTGCAGCATACGGTAAAGCTCCACGCTGAAAGGCTATCTAAGCTACTGAGACTCCTGCTGCTGCTGCTGCTGCAGGGACGCTGATCTCCAGCTGACCCTGCTGATGGCACTTCGCACACAATCACACCGCCAGTCTTTTCCCTACAGATTTTCTGCACGTGCTCGTTGACTAATAGTTATTTGAGCTTTTTCTCAAAAGAGGACATCCCAGAAATCTGAACAGAGTCAAGAAAGCGTTTCTTACATTTCTTACTGTACAGCCAGATCTCTGTAGATTCCTGCCTGTGCTTCATTTCTGACCCATTGGAGTCAGATTAGAGTGCAATTACCGGCAAATTGCTGCCTACGTATGGTTTATTAAATGCTTAGATTGAATGTGTGCACAAATGAGACATTCATGGCACCGCTGCAGCCATCATGATATGAACATACTGCAGCAAATGGGCTGACATGCAAGTTATAATTACTCCATCCTCTGTGTTGTTCCCGTCTATTAAACAGAGAAGATTTGGAAATCAATGCCAAAGGTGATGTGACGTTGTGATGTGAACCAAGTGTTACGACGTGGCTGGAATTCACAATCACAGAGAGATGCACAGTTTGTGTGAATAATCCCCGCAGCCTCTAGTATATCGGACAACAAATGCAACTACAGCAGTGATAACTAAGGGGCTTGCCCTGAGCTGCTCGGGGATTAGATGACCTCCAGCAGGAAAATCAAAATGTCATAAGTAGGATGTCAAACTGAGGTGAACTGGTAACACATCAAAACATTAATCTTCAGGGGATGGGGGTGGAGTGGCAGACAACAGTGTGCCGCATTGTAGGTCTGAAACATCGTGGATAATGATGGGATTTTTATTTTCTTTCTTTTTTCTGCAGCAGCTCTGCGAGAAACCAGTAGCTGAAGTCAGGAGATCAAAAAAAGGGGAAAAAAATAATATTAAATGTTGGATTTTGCTGCTTACAAGTCCAATCTAATCTTAAGTCTTATCTTAATGTGCTGCTGTCTTGTGAGGTGGCAGCAGCTCTTAAATGTTCACAAATAATGATAAAAAGATTTAAAAAAAAAGAAATTAAAAGATGCAAGATTTTTTTCCTTTATTCACTTAATTAACAATTCAAATGAGTTGTTGGTTCAGCTCACACGTTTCGGGGATTTTCGTGTACTTTGATATCGCTTTTTTCACGTATTTATGTTAGCTTCTGTAAATGAAAATAGTGAAACAAAGTCGTCATCACAGGCAAAAGAAAAATGATTAGAAGCTAAAACTGATACGGTTCAAATAATTGCATCTTTTGATTGATCGATGAGTAAAAAGGCCCCGAACTGTACAAATGTGCAAAAGGTTTACAGTGAAGTCTCACAGCTTTCCTCTCAACAACAAAACCAGAAAAAACGACGAGAAGAAGCAAAACATTCAGCCAAATCAAGTGTCGTCATCCCACTTGTATTTCAACTTCTTGTCTATTTACACAAAACGCAGAAATGTGCACAGCCCAACAACTTACATTTCCACAAAAACAGGCATCTGCAATGTTCGGCTTCACATAGAACGTCATGTGCTTGTTGTCTTGGGAACCTTCTGATGTTTCTCGTGAACCCCCCGGTGGGAAAAGCTGTGGTTCATTCTGTACTGTACATGGTGTGTAGGTGGAATTATCAACACAATGCTGCAACCTGGAATGTACAGAGGGCTTATGTGAGCCACTGGAGTCACACTGTGGTGATTTTCTTTGTTTTTTTTTTTGGAATTGAAAACCTCGCGACCTCAGAAGGGGAAACACATTCAGCCGTCTAATCGGGCTTTTGACGCCGGGCTGCCCTGAGATCTCCGTGCTCCTCTGACGTCTGAGTCAAGGTGGGATTACGGCGCGTCGCCTGCCATGTGTGTGCGGCCGCCGCGATCGTGATGTTTTGAGCACACGTACAGCAGATCTGCCGCAAGATTTTTGGACCATATGGTGGCTTACAGGCCTTCCTGCTCCACCTTTGCTGAGCAAGAGCATTACAGTAATCCCACATCTAGATGAAAGCGAGGAGGCAGAGGCTCCTTGGAAAAGCGTCGGCCATGGCGTGTAGTCGTGACACTTTGGCCTTTCTTTCATTTCAGCTGCTCAGATCATTACAGGCCACATCCATGTTGTACTTTATGGCTGTTTCACTATTTGATGTTGCCGCATTATTTATAGTTTCTACACGTAACAGCAGCTTTGTACTCCAGCAAGCAGGAATCACGCAGCCAATGATGAATACTAGTATTGTTCACTACTGCTAATAGGTCAAAAAACAAAACA